CTAATCCGCCTCACTTAGGCCGGGTCCAGGTCAGTCTTATTTTGTATCAAGTCTTGTTTATTTTATGCAACTAATACTTGACAGGGGCACTTGACGAGTCCATATCCACTGAGGATTACTGGACCGGCCTATCAACCAACCATGGTCCAGCCGACCTTATAAAGGCGGTTCTAGAACATGAAACCTAGTGGGATTCGACATCTTTCAAGATAATTTCATGCCTATAAATAGGGATGGTCAGGCCACAATACGGGTACGCTATCTCTAGCAAATATTACCACTTACATACATTCTTAAAACCCTTTTCTGACTTAAGTATCAGAGTGTTTACCCTCGGGAGACCCTCCAGGCCTTCTTTTGCAGGAAACCCTAGCCGAAATTCCACTATTAAACCGGCATTGGAAAACCAAGCTTCGTCAGATTTTTATCAAACAAGTCAAACTTAATTGATTCAGTACTTGTGGTTCAGTCTTTAAACTTCAAACTTTAGACCCTAAATTAAGTTTCATCAAATAGGGCCGTAGTCAGTTGATTTGATTTGTCACATTACATGGCAAAACAAATATTTAAGAGTAATAATAAGATTGCAGAGCCAAAAATTTTGAGTTGATCAGTGGAACCCTCTTTCTGCTCTTTATTTTTATTTTTATATATATGAAGGAAGCCCAAGCATGGCTTTTACTTACAAAACATCCCTTAGGTTACGGGATGATCCTAATTTATCACTTTCTAGCTATTCCCTAGCAGCAAAAGGGGGCGTTGGCAGAATGTGAAAACCAACTGAGCATGACAATCCGAACTTTGTGAGTTCGTCCGCCACCATATTCTGATTACGACGTACGTGAGAATTGACTTCTTTTCATTTCCGGTTAAACCTAAAGTAAACTATTGATTTGTTTTCTCATTCGTCTCTGACTGTTTCACTGTTCTTTTTGTCACCTCTCTTTCTTTACATTAAAAGTTGAGTAATCTCTTAGTTAATTTAGTTATATATATAAATTTACAATTTCATATTAAACAATTACTTTTAAATGACAGAGTGATACGGTTGTGACATGAAAACATGGCTATCTAATTTTTTTTTCATATTAATTATCATGTCTAATTTTACGCCATGTGTCCGATTGAAAACTCTTTCTTTAATATATGTAGAGATATCAATGAGAAAGTTATGTACATATCAACTTTACTAGAAAAAGTGCTACGAGAAATGGAATTTATCAAAAAGATATAAAATACCAGTGTAAACATTAGGTTTAAGAAGATTAAAAAAGGTGTCAAAAAAATTAGAGTGAACCACAAAACAATTCACTGAATTATTGAGTAATTTCACTAGAAGTCATCAATCAAATTTATTCCCAAAGTCGGTCGCCATACTAAGCCAAAAATCCATTCAAAATCAATCTGTTAATTTTGATCATTAAATAGTAACGAAAAGCTATTTTTCACATACTTTTGGATTCATGGTTAGATGTTGGTACTAGTATAATTACTAAATTTTAAATTTTAATTTAATTTTTATATTTTAACTTTAGATTATAAATTTTCAAAAATAAAAATAAAAAAATAAAGAAGAAAACTTTGGTTGAAGTAACATGAAAATTAATAGTTTACCATTTTAAACAAAAAAAATAAACATTAGTGAAGAAAAGTTGTTTCTTATAAGTTATTTAATTATTTTCCCCTTGAATTTGGTTTCTTCATTATTATTTTTCATGTTTATTTTAATTCAAATTTTTCTTCTTCATTTTTTTTTATTTTTTAAAAACATTTATAATCTAGAAGTGAAATAGAAAAGGTAAATTAGTTTTTTAAATTTAGTAATTATACTTGTACCAACATATATTAGTTGGAAGTATAAGAACAAGAATTGTAAAAAAAAATAAATAAATGAAAAAAGGGTTTTAAGAAAAAAAAATACAAAATAACGAAACTACCCCAAGACTCAAAAGTATATGAAAAATAGTTTCCCGTCACGATTTAATGCCCAAAATAAGGAAGAAGAAATGACTTGTCTTAACTAATTTAGTTTAAAATGGTAAACTATTAATTTTCATGTTTACTTCAACTCGAATTTTTCTTCTTGATTTTTTTAAATATTATAATCTAGAAGTTAAAATACAAAATCTAATTAATTTTTAAAATTTAATAATTAGACTAGTATCAACATATACAAGTTAGAAAGTATAAAAACAAGACTTGTAAAAAAAAATGAAAAAAATAAAAAAAATAGAAAATGACAAAAAGAAAACCCTGAACTCAAAAGGATGGGAAAAATAGCTTTCCGTCACTATTTAGCAACCAAAATTAATAAAATGACTTCGGATGGATTTCAGCTTAGTAAGGTGACCGATTTTAGGAATAAATTTGATTGATGACCCTTGATACCCAATAATTCAATGACCTGTTTTGTGGTCCACTCAAAAAATCAAAATGAAAAATTGAAGGAAACACGTGTCAAAAAGTAAAAGAAAAGAAGTTGACTAAAGTTTTTTTTTTCTTTTTTTGTTACAATACTAAAGTTTGAGTGACAAATAAATTTTTTCTAAAACTTATGGGTTCAATTTTTTATATTTTAGTATAATATTATGTTAGATGTCTAACTTTTGTAGTCAAAATTGAGTTTTGTCCTCTTTATTTTTTTTGAAATAAATAGTACTACTTTGAAATCGTAAAACTGCAATGATAATACATGGAAACAGTCAAACACAACTTACAACATATCATTTTGTTATGTTTATCATGGATAAAACTATACAAACCGACCCATACAATTAATCACATATTTTGTGCTAGGTTTGAATTTGATCTCAAGTATTATTATATCTTTAAATATATGTTGAAAACTCCAAATCATACATCTAAAAATTAGATGTGGTGACTAATTTTTCATAGGACATATGTAATGTCAAAAACATTTTCAGTAGCAACTAACACTGCAATCAAAGAATCTACTTATCAGTAGAACAATCTAATGAAAGGATTTTTAAAATAATTTCCTCTTAGTAATGTATAAATAATCTATTGAAAGATTAAAATTCAAAACTAATTTGCGTAAATAATTCCACTCATTAAATGATAACGAATAGAAGGGAGAAATGGTTAAACAAGATTATTTCCACCACCCTCTCATGATGAAAAAATGGGAAAAGAATTATTTTTTTGAGTTGAGGTTGAGAAAAAGAGTAGGTACATGTCTATTTTGTGATGTTATCTTACTAGCGTTTACCCCGCACGTTGTGCGTGTTGTTCAAGATATATATGAGTTTAATCATCTAACGATTACATCACATTTCCGACAGAGTGATATATGTCATAATAATAATAATAATAATAATAATAATAATAATAATAATAATAATAATAATAATTGTGATATAAATTACAATTGTGTAATTAAATTTCAATGTGATTTGTTATTTTAAGTATACTTGATATTATTTCAATATTTGAAATCATACAATGTAAATTATTGTCCACTTTTTGTTTTGTTGATTTACGGCTCCATATCTTAATTTTTAAAAAGTATTTTCTTGGCTTTTTTTAATCTTTTAAACTCTCCTTCTAAATTTTTCCATTATTTCTTTCATAAACTTATCTCTACTTTCCATCTCTCTCTATATTTTTTGTATCTTTTCTTTAAAAGTTTGTTTATGTATTTTTCATATAATTTAGTATCTGCTTTATTTTTTTTTCTTAGTAGTACAGTCTCTAAATTTGATGACCTCTCTTTCAAACTTATCTTGAAAAATTTGTAATAATTATTTCATTTTTCAATATTATCTCGTTTTTATTTTTCATATTTTCTTATTCTTTATGCAATTTTTTTCTCCATATAATTATTTTTAATTTCTCAATATGCTTTTCTTCTACTATTTGTCTCTTACAAAGACCTTTATTTTTTTTCTCATTTTGGAAAACATTCTCCCTATTGATCTCTACATTTTTTTGTTTTATTATCACAAGTTAACTTTTTTCTACCATTATATCATATGAAAAATATAATTAATCAGTTAATTGATTTTTTATATTTTTACTGCATATTATCAATCTTCATCGAGGTTTACTGATAAAAATCGCACACACACTTAAATTCTAAGGTGCACATGCAAAAAGAAAGTCATATATATATATATATATATATAGAGCACCGGTATGGAGTATTAATTTTTTTTATCATGCTGAAATAATTTTAAACAATAATTAAACTATATATTTAATTATAGTTTACTTACTCCGATAAATAACTTAATCTTATTACATTATATCACTGTTGTTAAATAATCAGCTATATAGTTAATACTGTAATCTTATTAAGCGTCAGAAGGCATTATTTTTTTACTTTTTCTTTGTTTGTATTATATTATTACATTAATTTATTACTAATCATTTATTAAATTATTTTTTATAATATAAAATATAATATGTTATTATATTGTTCCAACCTATCTTGATTGGTGAATTGGGTATTTTTGGATTGGTTCCAAAGATTCGCTTATTTCTTAATCCAATTACTTTTTTTCTTATGTAATTTTTTCTTTTTTACTTTTTCTTTATTTGTAATGTATATTATATTAATTTATTATTAATTATTATTAGATTATTATATAATATATCATATTATATGTTATTACATTGAAAATAATTTATTCCAACCGATTGGTTGCAGAGGTTGGTTTATTTTGCATGAGATTATATAAAATTGGATTAGTGTAGCAAGTGATTGTTCGGCTGCATTGTATTACTTTAATTTTTTGATTGGTTAAGAGAAATTTCCTAATTACTTTAATTTTATCTATAAAGTTACAAAATTTACAATTTTACATGAAAAAATTACCATTAAATGATAAAGTGATATAGTTGCAATATGTGGACTTGGTCATCTAATTTTACGCCACATGGATTAGCCTATATAAATTCGCGCCATGTGTCTAATTAAAAACTCTCTCTTAATATATATAGAGATATTACAAAGTTTTTTTTTTTTTTTAAAATGGTACCTGGTATTACAAAGTTATTACAAAGTTAGTTCATTTTTTCCCCAAATTATATTTTAATTTATAACAGAGGTAAAACGTAAAAGATAAGGATAGTGTACTGTGAGAATACAAGTGGAAAAGAAGCACGCGCTGGGCGGTGGCTGCTGCAGATAATTGGTGTGAGAAATCAAGGCGAGTGAAGGTGACGGTGACTTTCCCCAACTGAAAAAAAGCACACAAAAATCCTTCCAAACCCTAGAAAATTAAAAACAAAAAACACCACAGCTCAAAACGCAGTCTCACTCTCTCCTTCCTTCTCGTCTATATTACTCGGACCAAAAATAAAGCAGCGGCGGAGTCCACGCCCGGAAGGCGTCGCGTGGATTTTGGATTTGTTTTTTAATAGATTTAATTTCCGTTTTTCCCTGCAGATTCATCAAAAATTCCCCTGAAAACTTCACCCTTCTCACATTCCTCCACAGCGAGTAATCCACACCGCTTCACCTCCTCTTTCGTCAGCAACTACAGGAAAGAAGGGTATGTCAAAAACTCTTTTGGCCATTTTTTCAATTTTTTTCCCCCATTCTTTACCTCCTTTCCTAGCTCAGCGTCATTCTTTTTCAGTGATAAATTTACAGAATTCTGGTGAACATCATGACTTGTAAACGTGTAATTCTCCTGCCCTTTCCTCAATTTTGTCAAAGTTTCAGTTTTTGTTGTTGCCACTTCCTAGCTTTGAGCAGCGAGTGACGAGATGGAATTGATTGTGTTTTGTTTTGCAATTGCGAGTTAGAAACTTGGAAATGTTGATGTTGAGATGGAACTAAAGAAGTTTTGTTTTTGTTTCTGTTCTGGAGATCTAATAATATCTGTGAAGTAAGTTAAGTAACAGTGTTGATTGACATTAAAGAGCTGGTTTAACTGAGAGGAGAAGAAGGATGAATTAAAGTAGGCTTTTGAAGTTGAACTTGTACTGGATCAATTTTCTTAGGCGCTATAGTCACTTTAGGGGCTTGGTCTGCTGATTCAGTTTGCTATGATTCTCATCCATTTTTCGATTATCTGGTCAAGCTTATACTAGATTAACTAACTATGAAACTTTAACGCGTGGATGAAGAAGTGTAGAGTGATTGGAGATGGATTGTGTAACTCGCTTTGTTACTTCTTTCAGCGTATTTCTTTCCCTTTTCTTTTACCCCCATATCTGTTCTCTTTCTTTGTTTTTTACATTTCGAAACTTGGGACCCTTGTGTCTTACCATGATAATAATAGACTCCTATTTGTATTCATTTTTCCCAAATTTTTATATCCTGTGCTGAAAGGTGAGTCATATAGTATGTTGTACCAGTATGTGAAGGGACTCGTTCAGCTTATGTTTATAACCTAGTATGAGAAGGAGCCTTCAAACATTTATAACCTAGTATGAGAAGGAGCCTTCAAACATGTATGTAATTTAGGGTTTATCGCCGCTCCCTCAGACTTGTATGATTCTGATAGTTGATGCTTCTACGGAGCCTTTGTTTTGCGATTTATATTTTTATACTTTTCAAATAATCTTGCCAAGTCTTTCTTTCTTTACATTTTGAGTTACTATGTGTTGGTATGCAATCTAGAAGTTTACTTAGAATTCTAATTTGTTATTCTGGTTTAAATTATTTCATCTAGTCTTGATGCATTCTGTAGTGCAGGGCATATTTCTTTTCATACCTCTGTGTTGTCTAAATAGGCTGGAGGGTTTTGGTGCCTGCTGTATTTTCCTGATTGAGGAAAAACGCTCTCTGAATTGAAGATGACAACTAACATGCTGATAATTGTTTGTGTGTTTGAATGGCCTTGGGTAGTATGTTATGCTCTGTTGAGTGGCTATGTTGTGGCATTTTTACATGTTTGTCTTCTAACTTTAGTTTACCCAATTTTAGAGACAAAAGAAAGTAGAAGATGTTGCAGACCATTAGTTCTTGCTATCAATTATTTATCTGGTTTCCTGCAGCTTCCATATAATAAGTATTTGCAACCTTTTTGCCCCTCCTTTTATGGGGTAACTATGCAGGTACACCAAAAGTTATTTCACTTCACAGTACTGCTGTATATGCCATGGACATAGACCTTACCCTTCCTTCTGAAGAACATGATAAGGATGATGACGAATCAAATGGAATTGTTCATATGCTGGATGGTGAAGAAGAGAAACACCCAAATGGAGATGCAATGATTGGAAATATGGAAGATGTTGAGAGAATACATGCTGAAAATGGAGGGCAAATGAACATTCCTGCAGGTGAAATGGAGGACCCCAAAGAAGATGTGTTGCTGGAGCCCCTTGCTGGTATGGAATTTGAATCACTTGGAGCAGCATATGCCTTCTATCAGGAATATGCCAGGTCTAAAGGATTCAATACTGCTATACAGAACAGCAGGCGTTCTAAGACATCAAGGGAGTTTATTGATGCAAAGTTTGCATGTTCAAGATATGGAACCAAACGTGAGTACGAGAAATCTGCAGTACGCCCACGCAGTAGGCAGGGAAACAGGCAGGATTCTGAAAATGCAACTGGTAGAAGAGCATGTGCGAAGACAGACTGCAAAGCAAGCATGCATGTTAAGAGAAGGCCAGATGGAAAATGGATTATACATAGATTTGAGAAAGAACACAATCATGAACTATTACCAGCCCAAGCAGTGAGTGAACAAACGCGAAAGATGTATGCTGCCATGGCAAAACAGTTTGCCGAGTACAAAAATATGGTTGGTAACAAAAGTGATTCAAGAAGCCCTTTTGAGAAAAGCCGGAATGCTGCAATTGAAGCAGGAGAAGCCAGCTGTTTGTTAGATTTTTTTATTCAGATGCAGAGCATGAATTCGAACTTTTTTTATGCAATTGATATAGGTGAAGATCAACGGGTTAAGAATTTCTTTTGGGTTGATGCTAAAAGTAGGCATGACTATGTGAACTTCAGTGACGTAGTATCTTTTGATACCACTTATGTCAGAAACAAGTATAAGATGCCTCTGGCGCTTTTTGTGGGGGTCAATCATCATTACCAGTTTATGCTGCTAGGTTGTGCTTTGATATCTGATGAAAGTGAAGCTACTTATTCTTGGGTAATGAGGACATGGTTAAAAGCTATGGGTGGTCAACATCCAAAGATAGTACTCACTGATCAAGACCTGGTCTTGAAATCCATTATCTCTGACATATTCCCATCATCTTACCATTACTACTCTCTGTGGCATATCATTGGAAAAGTCTCGGAAACTCTGAACCTTGTCATTAAACAGAATGAGAACTTCATGGCTAAATTTGAGAAGTGTGTTTACAGGTCCTGGATGGAAGAGGAGTTTGAGAGGAGGTGGTTCAAATTACTGAATAAGTTTGAGCTTAAAGAAAATGAATGTATGCAGTCTCTATATGAAGATCGCAGCAAATGGGTGCCTTTGTTTTTGAGTGATGCATTTTTTGCTGGAATGTCTACTACTAACCGTGCAGAGAGTGTGAATAATTACTTTGACAAATATTTACATAAGAAGACTACCATTCAAGAGTTCATCAGACAGTATGATACGATTTTACAGGACCGATATGAAGAAGAAGGGAAAGCAGATTCAGATACATGGAACAAACCGCCTGCATTGAAGTCTCCATCTCCGTTTGAAAAACATGTAGCCCCCATTTACACAAATGCTGTATTCAGGAGATTTCAAGTTGAGGTCTTGGGTGCGGTTGCCTGTATTCCCAAGAAGGAGAAGCAGCAGGACATGACTGTAACTTACAGGGTTCAAGATTTTGAGAAGAATCAAGACTTCATTGTTACATTGAATGAACTGAAGTCGGAAGTATCCTGTATGTGCCATCTGTTTGAATATAAAGGTTTCCTTTGTAGACACGCTATGGTTGTTCTTCAAATTTGCGGCATTTCTAATATTCCAGAGCAATATATTGTGAGGAGGTGGACAAGAGATGCCAAGAATAGGTATTTTGGAGGCGAGGGCTCTGACCAGTTGCTACCACGGGTGCAACGGTATAATGAACTTTGTCAAAGGGCTATCAAACTGGGTGAAGAAGGATCCTTATGTCAAGAAACTTATGATATTGCTCTGCGTGCACTTGATGATACTTTTCGTAGATGTATTAGTATTAATAACTCCAATAGGAATGTTGTTGAGGGTGGGACATCAACCACACCTGGCCTTCTTTGTGTTGAAGATGATGATCAAAGTAGAAGCATGGGCAAGACAAATAAAACAGCAAAGAAAAACAACCCAACCAAGAAGAGGAAGGTCCGTTGCAAACCACGTACATTGTATTTCCTTTTAGGTCTTGTTGTAGTATGATTCATCTTGTTTCTGTATTTCAGGTAAACTCAGAATCAGATATCATGAGTGTTGGGGCTTCGGAGAGTTTGCAACAAATGGTGTGTTTTCTGAAATTTCTGTGGTTTGCATTATGATAGGTCATTTGAACTCGTTAAATGGCTTTGGGTTGTTTTAGATGTTTTAAGAATTTTGTCTCCAATGACACAGTCTTCATTCCAGCTTTAAACAATTTTTTCATATATGATATTTTTATTTTTTATTTTTTAACTAATGTTGTAGGATAAATTGAGCTCCAGACCAATTAACCTTGATAGCTATTTTGGCCCACAACAGGGTGTTCAAGGAATGGTACGTCACTTTCTAATGATTGTTAACATTGAGTAATCCCTCTACCTTTTTGAATTAATGGCTGTCATTTGGTAGGTACAGCTGAACTTGATGGCACCAACTCGAGATAATTACTACACAAACCAGCAAACCATACAGGGGCTTGTATGTTATTATTATATTTGCTCTTCGGGAAATCATCACGTGCAGTAAGAAATAACATTTGTTGTCTGTTTGGTTTTTGCTTTGCAGGGACAGCTCAATACCATTGCGCCTGCCCATGATGGCTATTATGGCACTCCACAAACAATACATGGACTGGTACATGGTTCTGTTGCTCTCGGTTCTGCAAGTGTAAAGCAAATTAATGTTTCTATAGAATTACATCTTGCATGTGTTCTTGCAGGGGCAAATGGACTTCTTCCGAAATTCAAGTTATGCGTATGGCATCCGGGTTAGTTTACCTGAATTTTAAGATAGAAGAAACTATTTGTGTCATACTGAATTAACTAACCAGATATCCTTCTCCTGTTTCTTTATTCAGGAGGAGCCGAGTATAAGGCCTCCTCAGCTGCATGATGACCCATCTCGACATACATGACGAAGGACCTTTCCTTCCGTTTACTTATATACCGGTGTTCCGCTCTTTTTATGGCCTGTTGGATTGAAATCAAGGACCTTTTCCTTCCATCTAGTTAAATGGCTCGAACTTTTTTTTAAAATTCATCAGGCCTTTTTGAAGGCAAAGAATGCTGTGTGCACTGGTGGATTTCGTTCTAGTACCTAGATTGTCTTAAAAAATTAGAAGAATCACTAGGTGGCTGTCATAACATATGGATGTAAAGAGCCAACTATTTTAGTTAGTAGATTGAGTATTTGTTGTTGGATCTGATTTGTCGGGGAGAAAGGTCATATGTATATGTATGGTGGTTGTAATGTACATGTGGTTGGTTTTTGAGCTTGTAGGGCACCTAGGAATGTGCTTTTCGGGGAACCATTGCCCTGTTCCAGACTAGTTAGACAAAGTTGTGCGATCAAGCTATGGAGAAGCCTTGGGGAGTAGAAAATAGTAGATGAAAGGTGAACAAGTCATGGATGCAGTAGTGATGGGGTTATCTTTTGTGCTGCATGTAGCCTTCAACTTTTGTGGTGTTTCAGAAAAACCAGGATGGTATCATAATGGATGAAGAAAAAGAAATTATGGAAATAAGTATTGTCAATCTTGAGCGGAAATCCGAGCTATAACTGTGGAAAAAGAAGGCGGCAAAAGCATATTCATCCCCTTTTCTTCTGCTGGACGCAGTTTCGATTTTCATGACTATCTCCTTTGTTGTTCAGTATATTAGCCCAGTTTAGATGGTAGTTTTTCTTTCTGGAAGTATGTTGTGATACACCTCTTTTGAAGCTCCAAACGTGGAAGTCAAATGTTATTAGATCTCCGTAGCTTTTTTCCCAGATTCTCGATTTTGTCTTGAATGTTTGTCAGTGACATGAACTTGTCTAAAATGTTTGACGGAAACTTTTTGTATGTCCTACACAATCGCAACGGATATTAGGTCTGGGTTCCGGTGGTCATAGAGTCGGAAGATGATTGTCCTGGAAAAGCAGGGAGGAAGGGAAGAAATGGATCGTATAACATTAGTCAATGTTCCTCTCTCAATCAAATTCGAAATCTTATCAATTGAAAATCCATTGTCCTAGTTGGCCTTGAAACTACCTGATTTTTACCCAGAATGATAATTGAATAGCATTGAAACAACATGATCTTCAAATCTGCAAAGTTTCCGTAGATACTCTGATGCCAAAGTTAGTCCCTTTATCATTTAACAATATGGTATTTATAAGAGAGGAAAGTACCATTTAAGGATGAATCTTGAGTTGTCAAGATTGAATCATAAAGTATCAAATCTTCCAAGAGTGAATCGTGGAATATAGTTGATAAAGATTATGATAACATCAATGCAGTGGTCAGTTGACTTAGTCAAACCGCGTATTCACAAAGATATGAATAGTAACTACAAATTCAACGTACATATTTTATTTCTATACTGAACCTATCTTTTTTCTTCTTTTTTTTTGACAAACACACGATATTATATATTATGAAAACCTATGCTATTACATTTGACTAAATTATAAGCTATATTATGCATCTCACTTACGCTTTCCCGATGAACCTATCTTCATTCGCCTCTGTACTAAACTCAAATAAGTTCTTTTTTGCAATGGACTTATTCTAATATTTTAGAGTGGACATAAATTACCAAAAGTTCACTTAAGTGAATTTAATCCAACCCTATCACTCTCTGAATCAAATTTGAATTCTTATCAATTGAAAATCCATTGTCCTAGTTAGCTTCTGCTATACACATCAAGTTCTATATTTAATTCACAATTATTCCCAATATTTACTGGACTGTTGAGAATAAGAAGAATGATGAGTATATAATTTTTTATTGGTTAGTTGACCAAGGGCAAGAAGGATAATTGTATATTGACATACAAAAGGGGTTGTTTATGTAATTAGATCCTAATTCAGGGGGCAAAATTTGGGGGCTTTTTTCCAAAAAAAATTAAATAAAATAAACGTGGACAAATTTAAATTTTTCAGAATATTTGTGGACAGAATTATATTACTCGGATTTCTGAAATCCGAGTTCTGATTAAAATTAGAGATTCGAATTTTTCAAATCCGGGTTTATACTTAATAATAAAATAATAATTTCATAAATTTTGTTGAATAATAGTTTTTAAAAAATTCTTAAATGAACAATAAAGCTCGGATTTGTGGAATCCGACTTTAGTTAAAAATTAATAAATCGCGGTGCGAAATTTTTGAATCCAAAAAACCGGAAGTCCGTAATCCGGTTTTAGGAATTCGGATTTTAGAAATCCGGCTGCCTTTAATTTTGGTTGGTGGAAGTAGGCATGTGCCTTAAATTGGAGGACCAAAAAATTAATAAAATAATCTTCAATTGACTAAATCCGGATTCATGAAATCCGAATCTATCGTAATTCGGATTTCGAAAATCCGAGTTACTTACGGACTCGGATTTCGTAAATCCGAGTTTAACGTGCTATAAAAGAAAAAAATTTCAGGCAGTTCTCATTCGAGAACTGAGTTGGATTTTCTGTTTTTGCAGCTCAAACAAGGGGGAATTGGAGTTTTTGATGCATTCTTGCCTCTAGATACGTGTAAATCGTTATTTGAAAGAGGTTAGATTGCAAAACCATGTTATTTAGTTTAGTTTTGTGTTATTTTGATTGTTAGAATGATGTATGATAGATTAGGGTTTATGTTGGTTGGTTGTTTGGATGTTTTAGGTGTTGATTTTGAGGTTAGAGATGAGAAAGCATAGTTGTTCATGAGATATTGAAGTTGATTTATAAGTATTTTAGTATGGTGTATTTGTTGGAGTATGTATGGTGTATGGTGTATGGTGTATTTTAGAGATGATAGGTTTTTTGAATTATGAATGGAGTATGTATGTGTATTTGTTGATTTTGTTATTAAGAAATGATTAGTTATTGATGTTTTTTTTTAACAGTTATCAATGGCACGTAATGTATCATACATGCTTAATTTGTATCATACAAGTAAGTATGTGATAGAGAACGGTAGCATCAACACTTTTTCGAATATGCCGGATGATGGTTTGTTTGTCGAAGAAAGGTTGTCATATGAGAGATTGATTAGTAAGATTTGTATGACACTTGGTTGGGATCCAGCGCACGTGAAACTCCACCTTTCTTTGATTTTCGATAGTCCCGGTGGTAGGCGTGTAGTGAAGATCAAGAATGATTCGCATGTAGAGTTCATGAACCGTGTAGATCCAATGTCATGTTTGGATTTATACATAGATTTGGAAGATATCACTCAAGAAGAAAGAGAAGCGAGTTTGGAAAACGTGTCATTTGGTGGTTTTCCAAGGGGGGAACGTGCTAGTACTTCTCAAAACCGTGATAAAGAGGAGACACCTTTATTTGCACAAAATGACTACCGGGAAGAGTCGGATTCCGACTACATAGCTCCAAGTGAAAGCGAAGAAGACTGTGATGTATCCGGAGAGACTGATTTTGAAGAAAGTGATGATGAAAGGTTGGAAAATGAGGAAAGGGATTGTAATCTATTCGCCCGACGCCATGTATATAGTAAGATGGGGAACTGGGATGCCTCATGTGTAGACAAGGATGAGTTTGCTCTTAAGATGTGGGATGAGACGCCCGAAGGAATGGACATTGGTGTTTGTTTCAAATCTCAATCAGAAGCAAAGCATGCTGTGAAATTATGGAACATCCATCATAAAAGGGAATATACGGTCGCCGCGAGTAGTCAAAGGACGTGGGCTGTGTGGTGCAGAACATTTAATGTGGAAAGTGAGGATGGTGAACCACCATGTGAGTGGAAGATGCGTGTGTCATTGAAAGCTCACGGCCTTCATGAAATTGTGAGATGACATGATGCACATAATTGTATGACTCCTGTGAATGATAATGACAATCGGTGTGTGGACGCGTCTTTGATTGCTAGACTCATCAGGAGAAAGGTTGAGGACAATGTAGATTATACGGTAGCCTCGGCACTGAAAGATGTGAAGACCTTATTGAAAGTAGATGTGCCATACAAAAGGGCGTGGCACGGGAGGAGGAAAGCCATAGAAGCTGTCTATGGTGATTGGACCTCCAATTTCGAAGAACTTTCACGATAAATATCAACTTTTATCCGTGTATTGAAATATTTTTAGTATTTTTATTTTTACATGTATTGAAATATTTTAACAATGACTTGTTGTTGTTTAGGTATATCGCTGCGCTTAAGTTTACTAATCCTGAGACTGTAGTAGAGTGGGAATAGAAGGAGGGACAAGAAGGTTGGAACAGGAAAAATCGGACATTTAAATACGTCTTCTGGTCATTGCACCGGTGGCTGAGACGTTTTTTGAATGTCCACTGGTCATTTGTATCGATGGAACCTTTTTGCGTGGTGGATACAAAGGTAAATTGCTTGTTGCGGTGGTCTATACCGCAAACAAGCACATTTTACCGGTTGCATTTGCGATTGTGGATGAGGAGACAGTAGAGAGTTGGACATTTTTTATGAGAAATTTGAGGTTGTGGGTTGTGTATGATAGAATCGTAAGTGTGATATCCGACCGGAATGCAGGGTTGTTGAGTGCAATCTCACAGATGGATGAATGGCGTGATTTAGGTGATGGTGGCCACTTTCTTTGCCTCCGCCACGTTCGCAGCAATCTTGTGTCGCGATATAATAGCAAAAAGATGAAGCGGTTATGTTAGAAGATGGGCATGACGCTTTCAAGAGTGAAATACAACCGTATGAGGGCAGAGCTTATTGAATTCAAACCTGCTGCATGAGAGTATCTTCGAGGGATTGGAGGGAGTAACTGGGCTCGATTGAAAGCCGGTCTTCGCTGTTGGGGCATAGCGACAACCAACATTTCTGAGAGTTACAACAATGCGTTGAAAGGGATCCATTTTTTACCAATTAGAGCCTTGATCGATGCAACCTTTTGCAAAACTATTAAATTCTATAGAGAAGAACAATTGTCTGCGAGAAATTGCATGACACCGATCCCTCCTGAGTTATGGAAAAAATACGAGAAAATGAATGACAAAGCAGCCAGTTTTGAAGCCACCCCTTTCGATGGTGATGATGCTATGTGGCGTGTTGTTACTGCCAGACGCCTAAGTGGCAGGAGTGGGTCTCTGCATACGGTGAACTACGATGAACATAGGTGTTCGTGCAGGAAGTGGCAAGAGTACCGGATGCCTTGTACGCATGCACTCCAAGTTTGTCGGAGAAACGGGAATCGGCCTATTGATCTATATCATAGTGTGTGGCGCCTTTCAACGTGGCGCAGACAATTTCATTACACGGGCTTTGTTCCGGTTCCCGATGAGGAACAATGGCCGATGGTCAATTGGAACATCATTCCGAATTATGAGCGTCTTGTGTTGCATGCGGGACCGGGACGAAGACAAAAAAGGAGACATAGAATGCAAATGGATTACAGGGGACGCCGGAGCCGGGGGGAATGTTGGAGATGTGGACAACTAGGTTATTATGCCAATTCTTGTCCGTTCTCGCACCCAGGAGTAGATAGAAGACCTGTGAATGACAGCTGGAATTGAGAGCCATTTAGTGTTCTTGCAAGTTATTTAGTGTTTGATAAATTTATGTGAACATTGATAAATTCGGATTATAATGTGAACATTGAATTATTCGGATTTTTCATAACAGGTTTTCGGATTGTGCAAAATACTCATCATGTTAAGGTTTTCTAAGGATTCGGATTTTAGAAATCCGAGCTCACACTTTTTTTTGATTTTGCAAAGGACTCGGATTTCTGAAATCCGAATTGGTGAAACCCATCCGAGAGTTGCAATTTGAGGAGAAACAAGGGAGATTCGAATTTTAGAAATCCGAGCTCAGACTTTTTTTTGAATTTGCAAAGGACTCGAATTTCGGAAATCCGAATTGGTGAAACCCATCCGAGAGTTGCAATTTGAGGTTTTCTAAGAGAGACTTGGATTTTAGAAATCCGAGCTCAGAGTTTTTTTTGAATTTTCAAAGGACACGGATTGCAAAAATCCGAATTGGTGAAAAGCATCCGAGAGTTGCAATTTGAGGAGAAACAGTAAAAACTCGGATTTCGGTAATCCGAGCTCAGAGTTTTTTTCAATTTGCAAAGGAGTCGGATTTCAGAAATCCGAGTTTGTGAAACCATTCAAGAGTTGAAATTTGAGGGAAACATTGAAGACTCGGATTTTAATTATTTTGCGCTTTCGATGTTATAATTTGAAGTTTTAACATTATTATTGCAATTTACTAGGTATGGGCGTATGAGCGGATCGAGAGGATCGCGCCCCAAAGAAAAGGAGTAGATTATTTGATTGATGAGATCGCTCCATTAGCTCAGCGGTACGTATTTTCAGTTCAAAATAACTCAACGTTTAATTCTATTTGTTTCTTATTCATTTATTTCACTAATTCAAATGTACCCCTTTGTTTATTAAGGTGGGAATGTAGGTATACCTATGGCGACGCCCCAAGGAGCAGCACTCCACCTTTTAGAGATCAATTAACAAGTCTGCGTGTTGAAGATGTAAGTACTTGTAATTTGGTATTTATATTTACTTTGAGATCAATTACCCCTTTCTTTTTGTTTCGGTTGTACCATCTAATGAAATTCTTTTCGTGCAGTTTCGGTGGCAACCATATGCACATGTCCTCCATAGACTCCCTGATTTCTGTACACAAGGCCAAGCCATTTGGACGACTAGGTGTTGGATGTTCTGTTGGGCTATTAGGGAACCCCACGAGTTGGGCAGAGTTGTAAGACAATTTGGATACATACAGGATGTTCCCAAGCGCCCCATGATTAAAGATAACGCAGCATTCCTTCTCGATCACGTCCACAGTATGTCTGGGTATCCTAGCAATAATTGGGTGGATCACGATTCCGCAGTACGTCGTCATTGGAATAGGAGAGAAGAGTTCGTGCTACGAGATTTGGAGGAAGGAGATCCTGGTTCCGTATATGAGGGGTACTATGAATGGTTCATGGTGAACACTGTCAGACTGATATCCAATCCCGGTAATTATGAACCTCAAGGATATGAGACTTCTTCGAGCCGCGTGAAATTATATGTGAGTTAATTCTAGATTTCTTTTATTATTTCTTATATTTTCATTTTTTTTCATTTTTTATTTTTTTAGAACTTTACTCTCTTAATTAACGTCCCAATTTCTTTTCAGGGTGAAGTATTGAACAACATTCGCGTGAGTACCGAGAGGTTTAGAGAAAAACGAGAAGATGATAATCTCCTAGACGAAGAACTTGACAAGCATTTGGACGATATCATCAATCAAACACATGTTGCTTTAACCTTGGGCGCAAATGATGAGATGGAGGTGGAGGATACCCAAATCCTGGTTGATGAAGATCCATTTTTGCCCTCACAACCTCCGCCGGGTAAAAAAGCGAAACCGTGGTCGAGAGATAAGATTGGAGGAGGAAGAAAGAGGAAGGTCACAATCCCCCCTCGGACATCGCAACAACAACCTGAGGGTCAACAAAATGAGGATCAAGCACATTCTTCTCGAGGCTCGCGCATCCAGGTCGAGACTCATTTTGAAGAAGCTAGTGGACCCGAGACTCAGTTTGACCTTGGTGGACCCGAGACTCAGTTTGACCTTGGTGGACCTGAGACTCAGTTTGGTGGACAGTCGCAACCACAACCGGGAGTCAAATTTATCACCATGGGGGAGTCCCAATCCCAACCCCAAATCAAGGCTCAGTTTGGTGGACAGTAGCAACCACAACAAAGTTCAATACTCACGTATCTTAAGAGGGGAGACAAGATCCGACAGGGCCCAAACAAATACACTCCGGATGCACACAATAAAGGAAAAGGGAAAAAATGAGACATTTCATTATTTTGCACATTTAAAGTAGTTTTTGTATTGATTTTTTATGAAACTTGATTTGTTTTGTTGTTAATCGAATGCCGTTTATTGTTTTGTTGCCATTAAATTCCTGTTTTCCAATGTTTCATTGTTGTTGGTGCTGTAAATAGGTTTAGGACTGGTAAAAATCAGTCTAATTTTTTTTTGTCAGTTCTAACAAAGACTCGGATTTGCGAAATCCGAACCCAGACGCATTGTAAAGGATTCGGATTTCGGGAATCCGAGTACGTAGCCAACTGAGAGTCACCATTTTTCATAAAACAGAGGAGATTCGGATTTCGGTAATCCGAGTTCTGCCCAAATTTAATTTTTCAACACATTATTTTTTCTCTATCCGGAAATTAATATTTTATTCATAGAAACGGATTTATAAAATCCGGGTTTAGATTAATTACACTAATTTTTGTCATTAACTTAATATCGGATTTACGTAACACAAAATCAGATTTTAATAATCCGAGTTTATTAGGGGTCGGATTTCCGAAATCCGAGTTTTGCTCCCATTCGGATTTCCTAAATTCGGGACATATAAATTTGTCCACAAGATTTTAAAAAGCTTTATTTTTGTCCAGGTTTTTTTTTTTTCAAATATATTTAAGGAAAAAATTCCAAAATTTGGATCACCCAAATATTTTAAAAACTTTTCTAATAAAATCGACAAAACGGCAGCGAAAGAGAGCAAAGAGCATTTCTTTGTGGGTTTTGAAGCAGCTGCTTTCTCCCCACCAATTGAAGCCCAAAAAATCTGGAGAGAACTCATCGATTCACAATCGGGCGACCACAAATTGCAGCAAAGTGGATGAAAGAATAACAACAAATTGCTTGAATTGAGGTGATTTGCTGATGCATTCTTTGATTCTGGTTAATACTACGTCTATGCTCTGTATTCAGCTGATAATTTCATGCGTGGATAGATAATGTGTAATTGGTCCCTGTTTATGTTTCTGATAATGATGATGATGATGATATAACTGTTTTTGGTTCTTCTAGGGTTTTGTTTTTGTCCCCTTTAGAGCCTCAATTCCACCTCCCAATTCGAAACCCTACTCTTTTCCCATTCCCATTTCAACTGAATTACAAAATAACAGCATTTTTGTGAGGTGTTCGTAATCGTTGAGCAGAAAGGTGTTTTCTTTTCCCCCTCCAAATTTGTTTGCTTATTTATAGAGCGGCATACCTATTTTGAAATTTCAAGGAAAAGGCGGCTGCTATTTCTTATACCATTAAATTAGAAATCGTCATTTGATCTTTGCTGGATTTTGTTTTCATCTGTATAAGTTCAGAGATATAAGTAGTTAAAATCTAAATGAAAAATATGTGTTTTTACAGATTTTAATAGTGTGGTACAGCCCATGAATCCAGGTTCTTATCTGTGTAGTTGTGAGGCAATTTATTTGCGGGAGGATAATTTTGTAGTTTATCTAACATAATGAGAAGGCTTGAAAGACTACTAATTTGATGCTCCAAGCAGTGAAAATGTGGTGCTTAGAGTATGGTGGATAGTGGAGAAGTGATTGAAAATATGTCTGTTGCCGTGGATGAAGCTGGCCCTATGGCCAGGGACGTCGCCAGGGTTGGAATGGATACAGATTTCGAGCCGCATGATGGAATTGAGTTTGCTTCTCATGAGGCTGCATATTCATTTTATCAAGAATATGCCAAATCAATGGGCTTCACCACCTCCATAAAGAATAGTCGCCGTTCGAAGAAATCAAAAGAATTTATTGATGCTAAGTTCGCTTGTTCTAGATATGGCGTCACTCATGAAACTGATGGCAGTTCTAGACGCCCCACTGTGAAGAAGACAGACTGTAAAGCCAGCATGCATGTCAAAAGAAACAAGGATGGAAAGTGGTATGTTCATGAATTCATAAAGGAACATAATCATGAGCTCCTACCAGCTCTTGCTTACCATTTTCGCATCCATAGAAATGTCAAATTAGCTGAAAAGAGTAATATTGATATTCTTCATGCTGTGAGTGAAAGGACTAGAAAAATGTATGTTGAGATGTCTAGACAGTCTGGTAGCAGTCCAGAAATAGCTTCTCTGGAGATTGCCTCAGGCTCCCAGCCTGAACAAGGACAGCTCCTTGCATTAGAAGAGGGTGATGCTCAAGTAATACTCGAGTATTTCATGCGTATTCAGAGAGAGAACCCCCATTTCTTTTATGCAATGGATTTAAATGAGGATCAGCGTCTGAGGAACTTGTTCTGGGTTGATGCTAAAAGTAGGAAAGACTACAACAGCTTTAATGATGTCATTGTTTTTGATACAAGTTACATGAAAGCAAATGAAAAGATGCCATTTGCTCCCTTTTTTGGGGTGAATCATCACTTTCAACCAATGTTGATTGGATGTGGGCTCGTCGGGGATGAAACTGTGACGACATTTATGTGGCTGATGAAGATCTGGCTTAAAGCAATTGGTGGACAAGCTCCTAAAGTCATAATCACTGACCAAGATAAAGCATTGAAAGCTGCGGTTGCAGAAATCTTTCCAAGTTCACGGCATTGTTATGCTCTTTGGCACATATTGGACAAGTTACCTGAAACGCTTGCTCATGTGGTTGTTCAGCATGATAGTTTTATTAGGAAGTTTAACAAGTGTATATTTAAGTCACTTAGTGATGAAGACTTTGATCTGAGATGGTGGAAGATGGTAGGAAGATTTGAACTACACGAAAATGAATGGATTCATTCTTTGTATGAAGACCGGAAAAAGTGGGTTCCAACTTTCATGCGAGAAACGTTTTTGGCGGGGATGTCAACAACTCAACGATGTGATAGTGTGATTTCTTTCTTTGACAAATACATACATAAGAAGATCAGTCTGAGAGATTTTGTTAGACAGTATGGGACGATTCTTCAAAATAGGTATGAAGAAGAAGCCATAGCTGACTTTGATACACGGCACAAACAACCAGCACTTAAGTCTCCTTCACCATGGGAGAAGCAAATGTCAACCATATATACACATGTGATTTTCAAGAAATTTCAGGTGGAAGTTTTAGGTGTGGTGGGTTGTCATCCTAAGAAGGAAACTGAAGATGGAACAGAAACAACCTTTAGAGTGGATGACTGTGAAAAAGGTGAAAATTTTATGGTCACATGGGATGGGACAAAATCAGAGGTTTCTTGTTCATGCCTTATGTTTGAATATAAGGGTTTTCTTTGTAGACATGCTATGATCGTTTTGCAAATGTGTGGTCTGTCGAGTATTCCTTCTAATTACATTTTAAGGAGGTGGACAAAAGATTCAAAGAGCAGGCAACCTACCGGGGATGATACTGAAAGAATTCTTACTAGGGTGCAAATGTACAATGACTTGTGTAAACGGGCCATTGAATTAGGTGAAGAAGGATCTTTGTCTGAGGAGAGTTACAATATTGCTTATCGTGCCCTAGTTGATGGCCTGAAGAACTGTGTAGATGTAAACAATAAAAGTGGTGCAGAATGTAGCAGCACTCCTGATGTGCTCCGAGGTGTGGAAGAAGTGAAAGATGTAGCTGATTCTACCAAAGAAAGCAGGAAGAAGAATACAAACAAGAAAAGAAAGGTTGTTTATAATCTTGATTCCTGAGTACGTTTTTCTAACTTTTAGTTTCTGGTGGAGTGTTGATAAGGTGGCCAAATTTCTGACAGGTGCCATCAGAGTCGGAAGCTGCCAATGCTGAAGTTCAAAGCAGCTTGCAACCAATGGTTTCCTCTTGATAACCTTCTTGAATTTTGAATTAGAAGAAAATATGTTTGAAACAGATTGCAAATAAACCAAGCTTTCCTTCCTTGACATTATTGTACTCAATTAAAAATTTTCTCCCCTGCAGGAGAGTGTTAATTCAGAAGGAATGACCCTCAATGGCTATTTTGGGACCCAACAAAATGTGCCAGGACTTGTAAGTCTCTATAACCCTAGGCATATTAGTTTTTCTTGTTCAATCGCTTGCTAAAACTTGCTGTTGCTATTACTTAGTAATGGAACTCCTTGCACAATGTTGTAGTCTAACTCAGGTATGTGTTTGATTGCAGATACAGTTGAATTTGATGGAGCCACCGCATGATGCTTACTATGTAAATCAACCGAATATGCAAGGGCTGGTATGTGCCTCTGTTGTGTATGGCTTTTGGACTCTTTCAAATTAGCTTCCTTAAAGATATTAATTTGCTTAGAAATTGGTAATGGTTTTTGATGGATGGGTGTGGAAGAGGTATCTACAATTTTTTGTTTCTTAAATGGTTTTAGGGCCAGCTGAATTCAGTTGCATCTAGCCATGATGGATTTTTTGCGACCCAGCAAAGCGTGCCCGGTCTGGTAGTGTAATTTGGATATGTGCATACATTGTTTCGAAACTCATTCTTTGGTGAGTTTCTCCGTGTTGCATTTCACATTCTATAACTGGAACATTTGGATGTGCAGGGGCATATCGATTTTAGGCCATCAAGTTTCACCTATGGCTTACAGGTACCAGTCCATTACAGATAACAATTTTCTTACCCTGAAGAACTTTGTCCTTTAGGTTACAATAGATCAACGAATTCCTTTGGCATGATTCTTTTGTCAGGACGAGTCCAACATGAGATCTGGTGAGGTATCAGGAGGCACTGCCAGGCATGTTTGAGGATGATGAAAACTTGTTAACTGACTTGTCATGTTGGGTTGTGGTTTCTTCTCCGGTGATGTGAACTGGAAGACAGAGAAGAACTCCCAGGACATCTTCTGAGTTCCGTCCTGGTTTTATTCCCCAAGAGGATAGTTGCTTTGGTATTTCCTTCACATTGTATTCTCACCGTAAATTTTGGAAGGAAGTTGCGCATATTTTTGATTGGACGTCTGATCTAGTTTTGCCAATAGGTTGGTCAAAGACCTGCACATTGGAGGGAGTGCTTGTCCTGCGATGCACCTGCAGGGAAGTTTGTGGACCTATACAATTAATCTAAATGCTAATGGAGAACTGGTGGTTTGGGAAAACACGGCATGCGCTGGAGTTAGGATGGTACAACCCGAGCGAATTCAAGGGCTGTGATTTTATTAGCTAAATTATGTAGAATATAGAGGGTCTGCATTTTGTTGGTTGCTGTTGGAGCGAAAAAAGGTATGTACAAGGGATGGACCAAGTATTTTCGTGTTATTCGCTCCTTGAAGGTGTTAAATCACGTTGATATTTGAGACATGAAATTGTATATAAAGCTGTAGCTCTTCGCTTCTACAAAGTAGTCCATTACATTTTTCCTTACATTTGGCGAATTTGGCCTCCATAAGAGAACATTTTTCTTTTTTAAACGGATTATTGGAATTTCTTTTCGGTCAAATGTAATAGACTATTATCTCCAATCCCATTATTTTACCATTGGATAAATTTGTCTCACGCAGTCAAGTTGGATTAATCAAAGTTCAAAGGGAAAAAAAAAGAAGAAGATTAAAGTTGCGATTAGATTAGTAATTGAGTGAATTATTAGATGCAACAGTTTGATAGGAAGAACTTCCCCAATTAATCTCGCTAAGATTTATTGTTTGATTGTTTCATCATTAATCAGTTTTGATATTATCATTACATTTTTCTATTTATTTTTTTAATCATGAGGAGATGGTTCACCATCATTACAATCAAGTACTTTCAAGCTGTAAATTAAGACCTCTTGTTTCCCCCCCTTTGTTTTAACTAAGTTGGAGACTAATTCTAACCCAAAAATTTAAATCATTTGGTTTTAAACCCGCCTTACCACCCATCATTTACTACAACAAATAACTTCATCGCAACAACATACAAACAATACTTTAAAATTTCTTTGGGTTTGCGGCGCAACATTATTGTAATACCAGACTTGGTTTATGTACGACCTAAGATATATTAGTGCATTATTTTTGTATTTATTTCTATCAAGTTTCCTACAATTAGGAAATACCACTACCGAGATTTAATTGTGTCATTTTTTGTATCTAGTTTGTTATCATCACAAGGTTGAAAGAATGGTGAATGATGAGGCTTCCAACTCCATTGTGTATTCTATTAGTAAGATGTTAAAACTGATGCGAGACTATTTTTTTTTTTTTAAAAAAAATAAATATTCCATTTATAAAAGAAAGTGTTACATGGCTCGATTTAGTTGAAGGCACGCTCTAGCAAGTGCAAGCAAGATTTATGTTATAGAGATTAAAGAGATTAAGAGATCTGCTCAACCGCAAGCGAGATTTAGTCGCAACTGCTATCCCATGAGGCTACATTATCTGTCAGATGAGATAAAAGACATTAAGCTGCGGGCTAAGACCTATTGAGCCATAAGTTACTTCTGCAGCAATTAAAGAAGTTATGGTTGGCTTCACTGATGAGAAAGAGAAGATCATTGATGGACTTGCTAGAGGTACACTGCAGAGAGCTGTTGTCTCTATTGTTGGAATGACGGGGTGTTCAGCAAGACTACTTTAGCAAATAATCTGTTTTGCAGTCCATATTCGAGCTTGGTCAGAAATGTAGAAAGAGAGATTTGTTGGTAGATATTTTGACCCACATCATTAGTGTGACAGATGATAACCCTGCAATGGAGGATTCAACATTAGAAGATCTACTACTACGTAAAAACTTGAAGGGAAAAAGGTACCTCATTATCATGGATGACATCTGGAGTGATGATAAGGCATGGAGTGATCTGATGCCCTCATTTCCTGATGACTTATATGGGAGCAGAATTCTATTGGGAGCGGTTAAAGTTGAAGATATTTGGAGGAGAAGAATGTCCAGAGGAAGTGTTGGAAATTGGACGGCAAATCGCCAAAAATTGCGGTGGCCTGCCTCTAGGTATTGGTGCCATAGCTGGTGTTCTTTATCAAATCAGTTAGACTCGGAACTCATGGGAAGGAATTGCTTGAAAAGTTTGTTCAGTTATAGTTAATGGTCCCGAAATGCAATGCCAGAAACTATTAGAACTGAGCTACGATCATTTACCGGATCATCCGAAAGCCTGCTTGCTTTATTTTGGAGCATTTCCACATGACACGGATATTCCAGTTTGGAGATTACTCTATTGCTATGGATTGCAGTATGTAGTATTGGTAAAATACAGAGTTCCTTTTCCTCCACCTCAAAGCGTTTCTTCCCTCAAAAGTGTCTTTTGGTGTGCCAAGTTTTTGAGACTACTAGCAACAACCCCTCCGTCACTTAAATAAAATGGACTAACACTGGTTCGGAGAGTGTAATAACTTTTGACTCCTTACAACATTGGAGGCTTCTGACACTTACTGTTATTGCATTTTCATTTCTCAAATAAATGTGACCTTACTTGAAACTATTAGCTTTTATCTTTCCTGTGTCTGGCATTGCGCATTTTGCTTTGAGGATCAAAACTTGCTGATTTCTTTCTTTTTTTTTTTTTTTTTTTTTTTTGGTAGTAAGGAGGAGCTTCCAAGGGGAGATTTTGATCAGTAACGTTTGAGGAGGTTTTCTTCTCTTTTCTGCTTGATGGTTGAGCTCTTTAGTTGGTGCATATTCTGTGGTTTGGATTACCACCCAAATTCCTGGTTATAGAATGGTAGTATGGTACTGCAAAAACTGGAAATCTGATGCAGATCAATATTGTAGTACTAGGAAAAAGTTTAACTAGTTTTTTATTTTAAGGGCTATTATGACATTACAGTTTCTGTTTGAGGTAACAAGTAAACACTATTGCCTCCTCTGTTCTTAACTAAACGTGTTTCAAGTTAAATCAACATATTCTATCTTTTTTTGGTCCCGCCGTTCTTTAATAAGTGTGATTTAGCTAAATCAAGATAGTTTGGCATCATTACCATATGTATTTTTAATGCTTTTCTCAAATTCGTCCTTAGGTTGTCATGGTAAAATTGGAGAAGAAAGAGTTATGCATATCAAAAATTCCCAGAAGGCCAATAGTGTAGATGATGTGTCAGTAATTTTTAAATAAGTGTACCTTATAATGACACTTATTGAATGATGATTCTAACTGTTTAAGCATACCTTAAATGACACGTACGAAAACAGTGAAGGTACATAGCAAAAAACAAGGCTTTATGCGAATAGCAAAAATCACAGGAAAACGTGAAGCCTTTTAGCCAAGTTCTTCATATCAGAAAAATGATTCTCCTTTAAACTTTTATAAGATTCTTCAGTAAGAAAATGATTACTACGCAGAGAAGTACCAATTTAAAGTGGTTAACCATAACATATATCAGTACTAACAAAACACAACAAATTATTTAGGAGACAAATGTATTCTGCCATGACAAACTTACAATAACATATGGTACTATACACAAACACACTAGTAGACAGCATCCGGTTTCATTAGTTAAAAAAGGATTGCTTGCACTGAGCCCTTAAAACTTTCTATTACTATTACAAATTGACCACGCTGCGTATTTGAAACAGCATAATCATCGATCACCCTACGCACCTTCATCTTCAGGGTTATTTACTCGTTCGCATTCATCAATCCATTCACTGTAAACGTCAATTGGTTCAGTTAAAGCAGTTATAGAGGTGCTAAAGCTCTCTTGGCATATCCTGCATATAGCTTCACCAATCAAGTTCTTCATGTCGCTGAAAAACAAAAAACTTTTATCAGTGGTTTGCCAAAATTGGGGTAAGAAAAGCACTCAGTAATTTATGGTTGATTAATCTTCAAGTTGAAACAAGAAATGGAAGCATTTTGTACAAAGCAATCAAACACTACTAATACATGCTCTAAAACAATAATGACAACCAAGGAACCTAACAAATCCGTAGTGTTTGCTCAGAATACCAGAAAAGAGAACTAAAACTCGAAAATTTTAAAAGTCATTCTAAACTTTCCCATTATCTTCACGTGTAAGATTTCAACTAAAATTAGGTCTATCATTATGTCCCTTGAGCCAACCCCCAATGACTTGCCTCACAAATAACATGCAAACATTTAATAAGAAAAAGAATTTAAGAGAGTTAACCAAGTCCTTACATGCGACATTCCACACTTGTGCCATGGTTGCAAAATGGACAGCTGAAAACTGTATCAAGTTTGTCCATTCTCTTCTTAGGTGGGGGCTTTGCCCTCGACTTTCTCTTCCCCATTCTCTAGATAGGCTTTTCTTCTTTTATCCTGCACAAAATACCAGTCCATCAGTTCTGATTCCAAAACACAAGCAAGTTGTGGGGACAGTTTCAACTTTCAAGGCACCCAAATGGTCTTTGACTCAAACCAAAATTCTACAGCAGAAATCTAATTGACAACAAGGTAAAGAGACACTCAGCGTATATGACCCTCAATTCATTTCACAGGGTACACATGCTTGCTTAGCCCAATCATAACAGCAACCAAATTAGCAATCATCATCATTGTGAACAGAAAGCTTTCACTTACATAATCAGAAATAAAATTCAACCCGATTTTGTATCAAAAGATATTTATTTTAGGTATGATAGAAGCGACTGAATTCAAATAGTAACATGTGACATCGATAATTCAAAGATTTGTTTCACATAGGAAGATAAGTACTTAAAAAACTTAATCAAATTAGGTTTCAGGTTCAGCAGACATAATACAAGGCCTAATTTCGAGAAGTGAAACAAGAACACATAGTCAGTCAGCATACCAAATCTCATGTACACGCATGTAGAGGGACAAACTCAAATTAAGCTCATACACACACAAAAGACGTTTCACGGTTATAATAAACCAATCAAGTAAGTTCCAGAAAAACAAACTCAAGCTATATCACAAAGCAGGAAAAGGAAAATAATCTTGTGATGTTAGTCATGATATGAAGAAAGTAACCGACACGTGAGGAGACTCCTCATGGCATTAGGATGATCATGACTAAACACATACCAAGCTTCATCATCACAAGGGATGCGCTTGTCAATAACCAAGCAGCAAAGCCAACAATTCACACATTCAAATGGCAAAAACACAACACCAGCAACCTATCAAAAACAAATCCCATCTCTTCGGACACAGCAAAAACAGTAGATCAACCAATTTCCGGTGGTTAACCCATTAAACATTCAGATTTGGACCAGAAGAACTAAATAACAACGCCATGGTAATATCAGCTTTTCATCACCGCAATGAACTCCCATACGTTAGCAATTACACATAAATCCCAACCAATATCCCAATTTTACAGCAGAACCAGTAGTAAAAACAAACGGATAACACTATTATACCACAACAAAGAAACCTAATTCAATTGAGACCCAGTTATACCCCCATAACCTAATTCAAACCCTAAACTGAAATCAGAAAAAAGAAAAAAAAAAAATCTTTACATGAAAAAAAAAACTAATTTTTGGGGGTAAAAAACAGAATATAATCGCGAACCACCCACAAAAAAACTTCCCCCAAAAGAACTGATCCATATTCGAATCAGCAGCAACGATGAACAGGAAACAAAAATCGCTAACCTTGGAGACTAGAGATGATAACCGATAAACTATCACAGCGAAAAACATGAAAAATTAGAAAAAGCTAGGCTAGAGAAGAAGATGTACCTGAAAATTAACGGCTAAGATTGGATAGGATTGTGGAAGGAGAAAGAAGCAAATATACTTGGGAGTTGTTGTAATAAGAAAGAGGAAGAAGAAGAAGTGTGGTTTGACTGTTGATAATAACAGAGCTTTTCAAGCGGTGATACAATTCAACGGCTCAGATAGATTCGTTCCACGTGATGTTACGATTCCCAAACGTAATCATATACTGTATGGCTAATTACATCCCTCTATTTATGGAAACTGTCAAACGAGCCCTTCAATTTCGTAGTTATCTTTGAGCCCTTCAAAAACTGTAGTTTATGAAAATTGTCAAAAGAGCCCTCAATTTCTCAAATATTTATTGTCAAATTTATGACCAACCAAAATATTTTACTTAATCAACCATATTCAAAATAAAATCCTAAAATTATTGTTCCGTTTGAATTCTCACTTTCAGCATAAATTATACTGAAAATGAAAGTCCAAACTGAACAATTATTTTAGAATGAAAAGAGTACTTTTTAAGATACAGGTTTCCAACAAGATAGAATTTAAGTTAATCGTCAGTAGATGGTGGAAAAATTGTTACTAAAATTCACAGTCGGGGTCTTCATATATAAATATGCAACCAAAACTTAGAATTTAGTTCTTATGGCATTACATTACATACCAAGTTTCAGTTCTTTTGTGGCAAGAGTACTATTCATTCTAAAGTAAATGTCTAAAGGAAGGATACACTCTTTTCTCAATGGTTCAATCGTCCATCAAAGTATAAGCTTCCACATGTGTAGGCTCCAATTTCTTCCTTCCACACATGCCAACTCTAGTTCCATCGTCCCCCTCTAAATGTGAACCCATACATGTGTCGCCTTTCCATTCCACCGCACCATCTCTGTCTTTTTCCTTTGTCTGATTCCTTCGTCATCTTCAGCTTGTGAGGGAATCAAAGCTCGAATCCGGCGTTTCCCTTCTGGTCCATCGCAACAAAAGCAACCAGGGCCAGTTTGAGTTGGAACCACAAAAGCAGCGAGTGCCCACCGACGACTCCGGTGATGTCACCTCCGGTACTACTAATTTGGATCGGGAAAAGGCTACTCCCCCTTCAGCCACCAAAGAAGCAGTTTTCGGTATAGCGGTTGGTTAAAACGCCAAGAGATCTGACGCTTTTCCCTTTTTGAATTTTCTTCCTCGGAATTAAAAGCAACCAAGCAGGTTCGAAATGGAACCACAACTTCTCCGTCTCCCTTCGAAAAGTCAAACTTCAGCCGTCGCCATGGACAACAACCAAACAGATATAAAAGCCCATAGAGTTTCACTTCAAAACTAATTGGCAATGAGGAGAGTAACCCAATGTACTTTTATATTGATATTGAGTCTTTCCCAGCACTAATGTGGGACTAGGATTGTCAAGACTCCCCCACAAGCCCAATGTATTTTTTTGGATTGTGTTTGTCCTATTTTTTCAGCCCAGACACCGCCTCGCGTCTCAACCCTATTTTTTTGTTGAGCTTTTTAGAGTCCGAATGTCGGCGGGCTGGCTCTAATATCATACAAAATCCCATGAGGTTCCACCTCAAAACCAATTAGCAATAAGGGGAGTAACTCATGTACTTTTATATTGATATTCAGTCTCTCGACGGACTGGCTCTGATACCATACAAAAGCCCATGGGATTCCAACTCAAAACTAATTGGCAATGAGGGGAGTAACTCATGTATTTTTATATTGATATTTAGTCTCTCGGCGGACTGACTCTGATACCATACAAAAGCCCATGGGATTCCACCTCAAAACCAATTGGCAATGAGGGGAGTAACTCATGTACTTTTATATTGATATTTAGTCCTTCTAGCACCAATGTGGGATTGAAATTCTCAATACTCCCCCGCAAGTCTAGCGTATTTTTTGGGTTGGACTTATCCTATTTTTCAGCCCAGGTACCGCCTCAAGTCTCAACCCAATTTTTTTTGTAGAGCTTTTTGGAGTCTGAATGTCGGCGGGCTAGCTCTGATACCATATAAAAGCACATGGGTTCACTTCAAAACCAATTGGCAATGAAGGGAGTAGCCCATGTATTTTTATATGGATATTCGTTCTGTCCCAGCACCAATGTGAGACTAGATTCTCAATAACAGATGCATTAGGAAATTTCTGGTTCATAAATTGAACCTTGTGGCAATGACGAGGTGCCTTTTCTGGTCGTTTATTTGTTTGCTTTTTTCCATTGAATTCTTGAGGTACGTAATGAGATCTTAGCCGGAGCAATTATGGCAGAATCCATATCAATTGAATCGGCTTCCTTTTGCTGTTGCTGTTCGTGGTGCTTATTTTCGTTTAATTTTGCTCATATTTTAATTCCCCAGCCGGTTCTGTTACACTTTATGTACGGATTATTTTTCTCTTTTTATTTTTTGGGTGTGTGTTTTGCTTGGTTTGATTTTTTTTTTGGATATTGTTTGTACTTTGATATGCTCTAGAAAAAAGCCATTCAAATGGTCAAGCCAACAAAGGAAACCACGACCCTAGATAGCGATGACACAGACAGTGTTGGCTCGTCATCCACTATTCGCTCAGATTACATTGGGGTATCAGGTGGTGAAGAAGTTCAGTACATTGCTGGATCAATATTTAGATGCCCTTTTTGAGAAAAGGTAACAATTGAGTGCTAAGAGTTCTCGTTTTGCTGTGTTCTTCCATCTGAGTTGTGGACATGATTGGTTCTGCTACAGAGCTATTTACATAATTTCTTACAATTTTGACCATTTGAGCAAATTCTTGAGACTGTTTTTTTTCTGTCATAGAGTTGTTTATTGATGGTGTATAATCCTGTATGCAGGGGTTCTACTAGGGAGAAGCCTTTGGCATCTTTGATAGAAGCTTTCAATAACAATTTACTGAATGAATTTGTAAAGAAGTAAGGAAATATTTATGGCTTTTTAGCTATTGCAGTTTTTAATCTCAATGCTGGAATCTCTTTGTGCAGTGCATTGGTTCCAAGTTCTTATATTTGGTTGTATGGGGTTTTAATATTTGAATTTAATGATGCACACTTTTTCGAGTGGCGTGGCTGGTTTGAAGTCCTCACAATGATTTTGTGATGCAAAGATTTGCAACGGTATTGCATCAATGTTTCAATTCTATGAAGCGGAATTCTGCGAAAGAGGTGTCAATGGCATACAGATTGCTGAATATTTAACTTCATTTCCTTCTTTAAATCAGCTTCATAGTCGGTAAAGAAAATCATTGAAGTCAACCCATACAGATTGGGTGCTTGTTGCAGTTCCTTTTTCAAGAAAATTTTATATTGCACCTTTGTGTTATTGCATACCATTTGCTTTTCTTCATAGAGGATTTTTAAAAATGCATCTTCAATTGGTGGCTGGATATGTTTGGGTATATTGTGTCGATATAGATTAGCATGAATTTGACTACATATGTTTGTCGTTATTTTATGGTTTTCCTCATCGTGCATGTTGTGCATTTTATTACTTGTTTGTTCTGGAGTTGATCGGACACTGACATGTCATGTTGCTTACTGTGTCTTGACTATAAGTCTGTAATGCTTGCTACTCATATGAATTGATTAACCTTGAAGATTCATTGCCTTTCCTGAATAAAGTGCCAAGCATCAAATACGACACAGTCATGCCTGAAAAGCCTATCAATAATGCTGAGTACTTGAGGATGTTCGCCTTGAACATCTATTATCATGCTGTGACGGTTTTGATTCGAAAAATGATTGGTCCGGTCCAGTGTACTCTCACTCAGTGAACAGCAACGCCTTGTATTTGCGCGGCTATTGCTTTCAAAACCAGCCTTGGCTCTACTGGATGCGGGTACAAGTGCTTTGGATGAAACAAATGAGGTACTTTTTTCGTGTCACTGAATCCATACTGTTTCTGTTAGCGAATTAGGTTTTGATTTGATCACGTTTTACCTTCCTCTTGACTAAATGAAGTGAAAAGAAAATCATGAGATTATTCATGTTTAGCGCAGTTCACTATGCCTACTAATGAATTTCGTTAACCCTTCTTTTGTAGGCTAATTCATACGGACATATAGAAGCCGCTGGTATAACTTATGTAAGTATAGGGCATAGGAGAACGTTGTAACTCTCACTTACGACAATGTTACCTATGTTGAATCCAATGTTATATTTCCCCAACCCATATATATTAAGACTTTGGCATATTTTCACATCGTTACTGACATTTAATAGTCTCCTGTCTCTGCAGGTCCAAAATAGCTGAAGCTTGAATATGGATTCAGTTGATGAAATCACCAGCCTCCGTCGGAGACTTATTCTTCCTGCTTCATCTATTGGCTCTCCTCGTCAGCGATATCTTTATTTTGTTGCACTTGTTTATGAATTCTAGAATTTAAAGTAGGCGTGACTCATAGTTTTTCATTGCCCTTGTGATGGAGTTGTTAAAAAATTATGCTTATATTTGTTTCATGTATGTCCATTGAACTATAAAATAGATGTATGGACTATCTAAGCTTTTTATTCGTAATGGTTCCATTGTCTTTTCTTTTTTTACTTGTCTCTTTTTAGTCCAAACATGTCACAACTTCTTTTACTACCAAAGATTGGAAATCATTTTCGAATTCTTGGAAATTTTTGTTTTTTCAAAATTTAACATATTTTTTTAAATAAATTAAACAGTGCGACACATTTGAAGCTTTATACCTTCTGGACCAACCTTAAATTTCTTTAATCATTCAAAAAATTCAAAATTACACAAAACAAATTAGGATGCACTAAATCTCTAATTTAAAGGCTCACATATTTTGACTTCTTCACAACCATTCTTTTATTTTACTGTATAATTTTTTTTATCTACTTTGTAACAATATTTCTAATTCCAGTCTAAGTTTTATTTTTTTTTTCTTACTCGTATTATAATATTAATTTCATGAGACTATTTATATATAACGGGCATATAATTCTTCGCGTAGTGCGCAACGCGTGGAGTAAATCTCGGCTAGTTTAATATAATGGGAATACCGATCTTTCATCCCTCCGGTGCGTTTTGCATTGTGTTCAAAATCAAAAATCAACTTCCTTAATCTCTCACCCGCCATCAGACATGATCCAATATAGTTAAGGTGATTATACTTTAATTTTACGAAGACAGGGAGCTAAGGCTATACAACTCCAAGTTTAACTCTGTACAGCGGCGGAGTCACAATTTTGGCTTAGGAGGTACGAAACAAGTTAGGCAAAATAATTGTACTAAACATTATATTGTCATTTCTTATTGTTTGATCACATCATATATATCCAATGTGTGGATAAATTAACCTTTATCCAAATGTTATATAACATTGTTTCAAATGTAAATCACAGAAATTAATTGAAAAAATTCCACTAATTTTTGGAGGAAGTCCGACAATTGCATCTTTTTTTTTTCTTGAAAATTACTTAAATCTATTTAAAAATAATAAAAAAAAAGTGGAGGGGTGCGGCGGCATCACGGCTGGCTCCTCCTAGCTTTGCCACTACTTGTAAATGTTTGGGGAATAATACTCCCTCCGGTCTCTTTATTATAAGGCATTTAATTTTGTCTTAGGTTTCATCTAAGATATCTTTTTAATTGAAATAAAAATCTTAAAAATATTTCATAATAATTAAGAGAATTCAACGAATGTAAACATATATTTTAAGGATTTTTTTTCAATGAAAAAGACATACTAGATTAAATATAGGACGGAATCGAAATGTCTTATAATAAGAATCGGAAGGAGTACAAGATTTTCATACTATACTAGATGCTTGCTCCGGCATTGCCTGTATTTTTAAATTGATTAAATAAAAAATACGAATCATTCTTAAAAGAATAAAAAAAAATTAGAAGAATAAAAAATCGATTAAAAGAATAGAAAGTGAGCTATTACACATAAATCTATGCCCAGATTTACAACATTTAATTTATAACAGTTAACTTATGCACGGGTTTATATAAATCATAAAACAATATCTACAACAGAAGAATAAAAAAAATCATCCTTAAAAAATCAAATTTCTTTCATAACAGCTTATTTTTTCTCCGTTGTAGAAAGAGATGGATTGATAATTGATGTCAGATTTTAAGTAATTGATTTAAAGGTCGGGTGTGAAAGAAGAGCGGAATGGAAGAGATTCTTTGAAATTAGGGATTGGGAAAATATTACAGGTGTTTCACTTGATTTAAGGGGATTTCTTTACATTTGATTTTATCAACTAAATATTGTTGTTTTAAAGGATTATATATACATATAATTATGATATTTTTATGTAGCTATAATTAAGGAATTTATGTATTTATCTATTCTATCTTTTTTTTCTAATTAGTTAGAGTGTCACGTGTCAAAAATGATTTTGTACTGAAAATGGTTTTTGGCGGAAAAATTTTCATTGTGGTGCTGACACATGTTTTTTCTGTTTGCTGTTTTAATTAAGTACTATAGATTTTGTCATTTAATGTATTATAGAAATTCAGTCACTGCACATAATTTCTTACCATCTACCTGTCATTAATTAGTAATTACTTATCATTTATTCGCATATCTTGGTAATTACACGCCACCTACTTAAGATTAGCCAGATACTACCTTCGCTTTTTCTATAAATAATGCATCATTGAACCTATGTGTAAGAATGCATACGGTCTAACTATCTTCTTTCTGCTCTAGAAAAATTATCTTCTTCTACTTATTTTTTTTTGTTCTCCACTGGCCATATATACTTCATACGAATATTCATCATTTTTCTGTAAGTCTAAATAATTTTCTATTTTAATAATTTTTTTCCCATGCACAGTGTTGTTCAAGCATATAAGACCTTTGAAATAAGAATTTTATTAAGTTTTGCTTTGTGTTAAAACATCATAACTATCCCCCAAAAAAAAATTCATTTCTTCTTATTCTCATTTTTATGGGAATCCATACCTTATATATATATATATATATATATATATATATATATATGTTTGTATCATTGTATGTGTGTTAATACACCTAAAATATCCAGAGATTATGTTTAATTACATAAATGATTTGTTTCATGTGCATTTGTCTTTTATTTTTATTTTTATTTTACTGAGAGAACATGTGTTTTTTTTTTTCAATCAATTTTATAAATATGATGAATCTCTCTATCATGCGTACAAATGATCAATGAATGATAATTGTGAATCATTTTATATGTTTCCTAACCAAAATTGATTAAAGAAATGGCTACTCAATATATTTACCCATAAAAAGGGTTTTAACTTTCAAGGATAGAAATAAACGCATCATAACCAAGTAAGCAATTAAAGTTTACTATGTACAATGGGCTAACTTTTTAATTTTGTGTTTTTGGTGATTAGAGGCTGTTATCGCTCAATGTTCTTCAAGTTCATAAGATCTATACCAAAAGATGTGTTCTTTTTTTTGTTGTTTGGGAGTATGAAATTGGATGGGTTTTCATCTTAAATTTGATACACATATATAGAAATCAAGAAAATGATAAACATAGTCGTAATTCACTTTTTTTTTTTTGGTAAAGTTATATTGTAATTATTTTAAAGTATTTTAATTTTAATTAATTTTTTATTTTAGTAAGTGAATGATGGTGTATATTTGCACCATATTAGTTGTATTTAATATCGCCATAATAGAAATAATCGTGTATTAATTAAATGTCATCCAATCTCATACTCCCAAAACTACAACAAAACAGAGAAAGAATTTGCACCCACTCTCGACAACATGGCCGGCACCAAAGAACTAGCAAATCTTATACGATGTGAAGATGGGCTGTATTTTTCGAGTTCTAAATGACAACGAAGAATCACTATGGCCATGAGAAGTAAGAGGGTTTAAGAAGAAGCAAATGGCTGCAGGCTTGGAAACCCCAGAATCCCAAGCAATATAATGGTGGAAGAGAGAAACAAAATGTATCTAAGATGCATTAATTGGTGGAAAAAGACGAACAACAAATTCAAGATTTTGTGTTACTACAATTTAATTGTTTGGTATTACTCTTTTATTTAGAGAAGAGAGAACTCATATAATTTATGTTGCAGTAAAACACAATCAGAACTTATAGATATGTGTATCTCTCTCGTAGCAAAACTCCAGACCATTTTCATGTTTGGCGCTTATCAAACAAAACTTCACCACGTTTAATTCTGATGCAGAATTCTAGTTCTTTTGGGTGTTTGTTGATTTTTGTCCACATTAAGAGTGTTCTTTCTTAATTTGATGTGAGTTAGTTAAAATTTTGTTACTGATCGTTGAATAGAATTTGTCGAATTGACTGTATCAGAATTGAGTTTCTTCTTTAATTTTGAATTTTGGTATCTTGATTTTTAGTTACATTCGGATTTTAAATGAAAAAAAAAGGACAGAGAAGCGGAATTAATTTGTGGTAGTAGATCACTTATTTGTGAAAGGAGGTCGAAGGAATATATAATCAGTGAGTTTTGATTTGCAACAGAAAAATGAAAAATAGATTGAAGCAAAGACGACATGGGCGGAGTAAGAAAAATCAACTTTTGACTCGAATAAGGATCATTTTTTTAAAAAGAATAATAATTTGCTCTGATAGTTGATAGTTGATTATTGCGCTGGCAACATCTTCAATGCGCTATTAAATAACTTGGGACTTCCAATTATCTGGTATAGATTTATTTGAAGGGAAGACTGGTAATTCTTGACAAATAACAGAGGAGATATAATTGGTTGAAATAATATATCGCATATAATTTTCAGAAAAATATCTCGTGTAGCAGTTGTATAATTATTTTATTCTGACAAGTTCATAGTAAAAATAGAGAGTAAAATATGTAACGTGTGAATTGTTACTTAACTGTGTCCCTTTTATGTGGATATATAAATGTTAATATATGGCGTGATGATGTTCTGTGGAGATACTTGTCTAATAAATTGGGACAACGGATAGGCTGCACCTTTTTCGATAGTTTATTCAAGTCTTATACACATTCGCCACAGGTTGAGAGTTAAAAGAAGAAAGTGGTGATCTTAAAGTCCAAATTAGCGACGAGAATATCAGAGCGATCATCATAGTTGTATTCGTTGGGGGCAACTGAGAATCCATCCAGAATCAAGGAAGGGAAAATGACAAAAGATGATTATAAATCTGAATGTAATAACAAAGGCAAAAGCTGAAATACTCTTTCTGGAAAGAAGCAATTCAAGAAATTAATGTTCGAAATTTAAAGTTTCTAAAGTTAGTAACTACGGAAATTTTACTGTTACACCCCATCGTAGGATGGGGGTGTGGCAGAAAAAGGAGAGATGATTATTCACTGATTTAGTTTAAACGTTTTATGTAGCTTGGATTTCTTCATAATTTACATGATTTTTTTTTTTTTTTATATATCTTTCATTTTGTAATACGCATTGACGAACAATTACTGATAGTTTTAAATTTTTGATGAAGCACGAAATGTGACGCGCTAATTTTTTTTTTAAGATATTATTCTAGTTTGACTTAAAAAGAACTATAAAAGTGAAACCAAAAAAAAAAAAAATAAATAAATTAACTCAAAACCAAACCAATGCCAAACGCCGGGAGTAAAGTTTATTTTGGACCAAGTGTCTCCTTAATAGTGCATATGTGACTATGACTAATGCTAAATTTTCACCATTAGTCATCTCGCAATTCAATAGGAACGCACACATTTTAAACCTATTTTGAGATTTGGTTGCATGCATGTACAAATCAAATAGGGCGAAGGATTTTTTGGCTATGAAGAAATACAGAGAAATGACACAATATAGTAAAGTTAATTTGAACTCTCGACGTTTGAAATAAAGAAAGTAGTGCAGTCTGTGTGCAGAACCGCCGCATGTATACATATGTGGGATTGATGCTCAATTCCTCATGTTGATGATAGTTTGGTAATGGCAAAAAAAAAATAAATTTGTGCATCTGCCACATGCCGGCAATCATTATGGTTTTGATGATTCGCCGATGAAATTTCATTTGTCAAACGAGTGGGCTTTGTGTAACCTTCATTTTTACGTTTGTTTCTTCAACATAATGATTAAAAGTTAAACTCTTGCCTTCAAAGCTAAGGAATTTTAATTGTTTTCAGCTATCAAATGATATTAATAAGTTCTTCTTCCTTTTTTTTAATTGAAGAAAACAATTATGATTTCCCACAAAGCTTTTCATATCTAATTATAATATACTTTTGTCTACAATTATCTAAAAATCAAGGGGGAAAAAAACAATGAATCCTTCTAACTCAGCCATTTTTTTCTTTTTCACTCATCTTGACCTAAACAATTACATGACTTCGTCCAGCATGATGTCTCTATCTGATTGTATTATCTTACGTGGTAGATGACTATATATTAAAACTGAAATTATACTCCGCATTAGATGTTAAAAAGTTTGAAAATTTTATTTAGTCACAAGATTAGATGGGAACCTCAATGTTAGACTAGTGAACATTACCTTACTTCCAATCCAAGCACAAAGGGCTTTCCCTCATAATTCAATCAGTAGTAGTGTGACCACTAACCAATTCCCACTTCAGATTTTACTTTTCCTTTCCGATCCCATTATTTGAATAAGTTCATTGATTCAACATATATGTTCAAGAACCAATTAGTACTTTCTCCCCCATTTTTCCCTCCCGATCATCTTTTCTCTCTTTTCCGACAACACTATAGTACCATGCTTCTTTCCATTCTACTCCTTACTCTTAACCTACACTTAGTGTTCTCCTCTCATTGCACAACAACTAGTAACACGAAAACCTTCGAAAAATGCATGTCATTGCCCTCCCAAGATGCTTCCCTCGCTTGGACATTTCATGCACACAACTCCACACTCGATTTAGTCTTTTTCGGTACGTTCATTTCGCCGTCCGGTTGGGTAGGGTTCGGAATAAACCCTACCTCCCCGGAAATGACTGGAACCCGTGCCCTAATCGCCTTTCCGGACCCTAATTCCGGCCAAATAGTCCTCCTACCCTACATCCTAGACCCAACCGTCAAGCTACAAAAGAACCCGCTACTCTCGCAGCCGCTCGACATCCACCTCCTCACCTCTTCCGCGGCCCTCTATGGCGGCAGAATGGCCACCGTACACGACGGTGCAAACATCCAAATCCACGCAACCATAAAACTCACACAAAATAAAACCCTAATTAACTTTGTTTGGAACCGCGGACTTTACGTCCAAGGTTACTCCCCAACCATCCATCCCACCACCGAGAACGATCTTTCGTCAACCTCCACCGTCAATATCCTGTCCGGATTCGCATCCAACGGCCACGAAACCGCCTACACGCTCAAGATCATCCACGGCATCTTAAACGCCATTTCATGGGGGATTTTGCTACCGATCGGGGCGATAACCGCCCGTTACCTTCGTCACATCCAGTCGCTAGGGCCCGTTTGGTTCTACGCGCACGCTGGAATCCAGCTCTTCGGTATCTTCATTGGAACCGTGGGATTCGCCATTGGGATTCGGCTCGGGCAGTTGTCTCCCGGAAAAGTTTACGGCCTTCACCGGAAACTCGGGTTCGCCGTGTTTTGTTTAGGTTGGCTTCAGACACTTGCTCTTTTATTCCGGCCAAAGACTACCCACAAGTTTAGGAGGTATTGGAAATCTTACCATCATTTTGTTGGGTACGCATGCGTGGTGATCGGAGTGGTGAATGTTTTTCAAGGGTTTGAGATCATGGGAGAAGGAAGATCTCTCGCTAAGTTGGTGTATTGTTTAGGTTTGTCAACGTTGGTTGGTGTTTGTATAGCGTTGGAAGTGAATTCTTGGGTCATTTTCTGTAGGAAATCCAAAGAGGACAAATTAAGGAGAGAAGGGTTCATTAGTGGGTGTTCTGATAAAGCTAGTGATTCAAGCAGAGGTAAAATTATCAGTTAACAAAATTTATTTTGTGAGGATTGTAATTTGATCATATATGCTTTCAAGTTTTGTTTTTTTTTTTTTAGTAATGAACGTGTTTGTGATCTAGCGCTTTCATTAGTTTGAAAAGCTGTAAACTTTGTAATAATTACTTTTTGTTTAATCCCACACTTCCATTGAACAAGCAACAAAATATACTCCTTGCTAGTGCTATTCCAAAAAAAATTTGTTATAATGGTTGGACTTCGGAGTTCAAAGATAATTTTGGTGGTATGACACCTATTCTTTGATGTCTGAAATAAATGTATTTATTTCGCTTATTACGTACCCATATATTTATTTCGCTTATTACGTACCCATGATATTTGAATTCATAATATTTTAAAAATCGTAATCCTTTCCTTCTATTCTAAAATGATACTTCGATGGAGCACAGTCTAACTAACAGCACCTCCTTAGTTGAATGATATAAATAATCTGAAAAAAGAATATTAAGGGTGTTCTCGGGAGTGAAATTCAAGTACTTAAATACGTAAGCTGTGTTATAAATACAAAATGGGACTAGATGTCTTCTCCTCACTTACTATTCTTTGAATGTTTTGTGGCTGCTGCATGTAGCCTATACAATTATAATTCGACAGTTTTTCCCAAGGCGTTGTTGATACTTGATAGGATTTTACAGAATCATGTGCATGGTTGATGATTTCACCAAATCAGGATGGTAGTTATGTCGTGGATTTGACAATGGATTAGTCCAATGTTTTTTTTTTCTCTAAAGTGTAACAAAGTTTTTGTGAGGTACTGTCTTTGTCTTCAAAAAATAATCTATATATTAATATAAATTTCAAAATTTACTTAATATGAATTATTTTTTTTAGAAAGAAGTTATGATTTGACTTGCTTAAATCAAATTATGAATTAGGCATAATAAATTTAAGCGACTAAGTGAATTAACCACAATCAGTCCAAGGCCATATATGTAGCAGCCACCAGCATTCCAGAATAGTATGTGGGGGGGGAGATGACATTTAACCCTATTCTATACTTAACACAATAATTTACATAATTGAAGTATCAGAGCTTTATTCACAATAACAGTACCCAAGATTCTTTCATCTATGATATGTACAAATAAAAATGTACAAACATTTGTTGAGAGAGCTTTGAGAACGGAAGCAAATTTACTCGGATTAAATTTAGATTAGTCGAAATAATGACTTTAGGTACTTAGATATGTAATATACTAAAATAAAAAATCACATACTTGATACTTCTTGAACAATGTAGTTTTTGTTTAAATAGTCATTCGATGTATTGGATGTGAGTATCTGTAATAGATTCCACGCACATACTTGAATCGGTACGAGTTTAAGAGATGATAAATTTCTTACCATGTATTTTAATACAACTATCAATCGTACGTACTCCAAAATGCGAAAAAAATAAAAATGAGAGAAATCATTCTTTTCAGTATCAGGGGGTTTCAACTTTTCAAGTATAAAAATAAGCAAGCAGAGTATATAATTTACTTTAAAATGCAATCCAAAGTCCAAAAAAGAAGTAATTTGCTTTAATCAAGACAAGAAAAAAGAAGTAAAACTAACTAGAGCTAAAACTCTTGAACCAATTTTATTTGAGCTAAAACTATTTTCGAAATTTGATCAGAATTTATGATAGATCAAAATTAATGAACCAAGGTTTGTTTGATCTGTTTATAACCATAAAAATTTATGCCAAAATAAATTTAGGTGGCTATTCAACAAGCCCATATGTTAGATGGCACATCTTCGAGAACACTAGCCTTGTTGAAATCTATCCTCCTATTACGACGAGCTATTTCCTTCTACAACATGTAACTAATGAGACAATTAAATAACCTTTGGACTCTTTTGCTTCTTAAAATTAAAGTCGTATTGTGAAACTAAAATGATTTAATATGGAAGTCTCTCTTCTTATCTCACAAGCTATTTTTACTGATTTGCCTCAAGGTTAATTAACAAAGTAAGTTGATGTTTGGGCAACGTTTTGTTTTAATTTTTTATTTGGATTCAGGAGGAGATTTAAAATGTAGTTTAATGACAATTTTTTGAAAGTATTATAGTGTAGTGATCGTTTTTTGAAAATGAAATAGTATAGTGACTAGACTTAAAACTTTACAATTGTTTAGTGACCAAACTTAAAACTTTACAATAGTTTAGTGAGCACCGGTACTAAACTTTACAATAATTTAAAATGTAAATTAAATTAATAGTAGAGATTTGTGTTTAAAAAGTAAAATAAAACAAAAAGTAAAATGAAACGACAAACAAACAAGGCCACTTCAACACGTCAGCATGGCTGTAATTAGTTTCGTGATTTTTGCTATAATGAAATAATAATGTATACATGGATACTTTCATATACTAAGATTCTCAAGTTTAGATTGTTTTTTTTTTCTCTCAAATTTAATTCAGAAAAAGGAATTAGAGAGACCTTGAGCCTTTAACATATCTACTGATTGAACACTAAATTCTTAAACTTCGAAACAAATATATCTATATTTGTTTCTTACTCCCTTTGTCCCAAAAAAAAAAAAATATTTGTTTAGTTTCCATTTTCATTCTCAGTACAAGTCATGCAAAAAAGTGCAAATTCTCCCTGCTAAATTTTTGTTTGATACAAAAAAAATATATTTTCTTCTCAAAATAATTGTCCATTTGAATTTTTTGGACACATAAAATATATGTTAGTCCTCATGGTCTTCTAATTGTATGCCCCATTCGCAATTGTCTTCGTAACGTTTAATACGTATCATGTAAGTTGGTTAAAGAAAATCTTTTTTTTTTTAGGGAGAGACAACAAATTAATGCATAATCGAAATTACAGTATTCTTGCCTTGTGATAATTACTTTCTATGCCCAAAATATAATTCATTTTATTATATTGTTTGATTCGACAAAATAGGCACCGGGGATCTACAATGGGTGCATGGGGCCTTGGCTCCTACTGACCCCACCATGAGCCTCTTATATATTACATATATTTTTATTATTTTAATGTAATAAAAATAGATAATATATGTTTTATGCAATCTTTTACTTTTATTTTTTTGCTTAATTGCATATTGGGTTCATCGATCAAATATTGTCAATATCTGAACTAAATTTGTGTTCATAGAGACTATATGATTAAAAAATTTAAATAAAGTTACAAGCGTTGTGAATTATAATTATACTAACAATGCATAATTTCTTATAATAAAATGGTCAGATATATTTAAATCATTCGATTGAACAAATCTTTCCTACTCCTTAATTCAGATATTCTTTGTGTAGTCGAAACGTTCATTACTTTTTTTTCTCTTTTTTTTTTTTTTGTGTACGTGTACATGCTCGGGTATAGTGTTTTATAGAAAAAATTTAATACTTAAAATAGTAATAATTTTTTTTTATTGATGTAATAGTCGTACAAAGAGTTTTTAGTTATGAACACAATAATATGTGTTCGTGTATACAATACTTAACCCTTGAATGATGTCTTGCTTAATTTTTATGCTATAAACAATACTATATATAGGACATACTTATGATAGAAAAGCGGTTCAAAAACATCAAGATAAGAAAATTTATTGTAATCAACACTAATATAATGATGTTATAAAATTCTTTCGTTAATGTATTCATGACTCCCACTAAAAATTCGTTTTAAATTCGCTACTGAAAGTAAGGGGTTTTTTTTTTTTTTGAGACAGTATATTTTATCATGATAAGTTCATTGTAACACTCGTTTGGGCGTCATACATTCAACTTATGAAAATCAAATGGATTTATTGAGCATAAGTTCGTTTCTTTGTGAATATGTTTCAGCTGGATTCTCCAATTCCGACAGAACAAATACTGAATTCAACGTATTATTAACCCTTCCCAAATTTATTTTGGACTACTCTTTTCTTACCAACATTAATATTTTGACCCACATGAATTTCAAGATCGCCACTCCTGTGCCTTAAAAAAAAAAAGGCTAAATAATTATCCAAATATATCTCAATATTTCTTATTGTAAATTGAAGAATTAAAATCGTAGATCGAAAGACTATGAAATACGGATATTAAAAAGAAGAAAAATACTAGATTCTCATTCTTCTTCGGTCACACAAATCTTGATCCACACACTCCGAGATTACTCGTTTGGGGAACCTTCGTACGGTGCAAAAGTCACTGGATGGGTCGCTAAACGCTTATAGCTGCTGCCTTTTCTTCAACGTTCTTCTTGAATAATGACACTTGTGGTGTCAATAACAAATTGAACATTTCATAAACAATAAGTGATGCGACATTTGAGTATTATTAATACTTTGAAAATAGAAGCAATGTACTAAATGTAGCCCTCAAATGACCACTACTACGGACGTTATTGCGGGGAGAAAAAAAAAAAAAAAAAAGGGTTTCCTCGTGACGGAAAACTGTATATATATTGACTCATCATACGTAGACAAGCAAGATGAACCGTTCATTTTAAATTCCTAATAAAAAAATTACCACTAGCACAATAATTTTTACCCAGCATACAAATTAGGTACAGATTTTGTTACTGTAGACTTTTCATCCGTGACCAAAAACAATGAAACATACAAAAGCATTCATAACCCCTTCTTTGAGTCAAAGCAAAGTGAATTATAAAAATAAATGTACACTGTGTGAAACCGCGGGGAGAGTTGTTGGATTCTTTGGAACTTTTCGAACTATGAACATATCATCTTCATCATCTACCTCTGTCTCACCAACCTTTTCAAAAGGGCTTGTAAAAAAAATACAATTTTGAGGTTCACGGAATCGTACGTACATTCCACGGTATGACGGTGTCACCCCGGAACACACACAGTCACACACTATAGAGATCGATCACGTAAGAGATGTAACACAAATTCATCTTGTGGTACATATATTTCCACCTTCCCGGCTTCTTCCATTTTCCATGTTTCCAAATTTTCATCATCAATCCAACAACTCTTGTAGTGTTTCGATCATTCGATTCTGCTTATTTCCAAATTAGACTAAATTAAGTCGTACCATTATATCCTATTTTTTCCAAGTCTAAACTACCAGATCCATTCTCCATTTCTTTTGTTTCCATAAAAATTAATCAAAAATGGTAAAGTATACTACTTTTCCACATGTTGCCTGACCAAGTCAACCATCAAATAAACCGAATCAACTCTTGTGTCATATTGTTTTCCACATACATACTTTTGTTATAAGTTTCCCATATTCTCATAAATCCTATATAAAGTTCATTCTCACCCCCCCAACTTTGATCTCCACCTGAAAACTTCTCTCTCTTTTTCTTTCTTCTTTCTTTCCGGGATCGTAAAATTACTTCCGGCGAAATGGCAAAACGGACATTATTAATCCAATCAATTTTGCTGTGTTCAATGTTGATGATGATTCCGATTCCGGCAAAAGCCCAACAAAACTGCTCGAGTTTTGCCTTCAGCAACGGAGTGGGCCCATTCGCAACCTGCATAACTCTTCCGGTTCTCAACTCTTTCCTCCACTGGACCTACCATTCCTCCAACCACACCGTTGACATCGCTTACCGCCACACCGGAGTCTCCGCTTCCAACTGGGTCGCTTGGGCCCTCAACCCGGACGGTTCCGGGATGTTACGGGCCCAATGTCTGGTGGCCTTCCAGAACTCCAGTGGCCTTGTCCACGCCTACACTGCGCCGATCGGGACAGGTACTTACTTCATACAGCTGACGGAGGGCTCGTTGAGCTTCCCGGTGCCGAGGCTCTCGGCGGAGTTTGATAATAATAATAAGGAGATGATTATATTCGCCACTTTACGGTTGCCGGCCGGCCGGACGAGTTTTAATCAGGTGTGGCAGGTGGGACCACTTAGCGGTGATTCCCCGCAAGCTCATGATACCACTGGGAACTCTCCTAACACCAGGTCGACCGGGACCGTTGACTTCGCCACCGGTCAAGTTTCCGCCGGCGGTGGAGTCTCGAATTCCAGAATGCGGAAGAGAAATGTAAGTCGATTATATATAACGCTTTTTTGCATGAAGTTTTGTAAATATTTTTGTCGCTTTTCAATTACTTGTTACTTTTAATTATAGTTAAATAATTACGCAAACATATTAGGGCCATTAATTTGGCTAGTTATGCATAATATACATATATTTGATGAAATGAATTTACCAAGAAATTTATCACAAAAGATGATCAAAATTGCTTGTGCCTTACTTTCCAGTAATCTTACTCAAAATAACAATATTTCCTCCGTCCAAAAAAAAAAATAGTCCACAGAAATTATATTAAAACAATACAAATTACTATTTACAATATAGTGCAGGCGGAGGGAATAATAATAATTCATAAACGTGAAAAACTATCTTCACTTAGCATAGAAATTCCATATTGAAGTTCGAGGGGTGTGTGACTTTACTATACGAAAAACGTTTTTGTTTTTGTATTACGTTTTAGTTAAAAAATATTAGAAGTCATATTAAAAATGTGAATGTAGTGTAGTTATCAAAAATTTAGTTCAAACCAAAAGTAAAACGTTGTTCGTATAAACCCGAGTGTTTTCCATTAGGTACAAAAACCAAGTGGCATCTAACTATGTAGGTGGCGGGAAGGTAGGGAAAGAATGGAAGGAAGAAAAACAAATTTCAAACATTGAATTTGTCAAAATAGGAGGGAGTAGGGCTGGGTGGTGGGAGTTGTTGGAAAGTCGACGTCTATTTGGTTTATACTTTATACTTTAATTCGGCCGACTTGACGAATCTATACCACTTTATAAACTTTACTTGGAGATTACAATTTCCGCAAAGTTAAAGAGTAGTGAAAACAAAAGCACCATCTGTCTTATTTTAGGTTTAGGTAGTTGCTTTGTAGTTTTCATCCTCTGACAACGCAGACACACACAAAAAGGAAAAAAAAAAAAAAAGAAGGAATATTTGATCCTAATTCAAACATGCTTGTGAATTTTACTTTTATTTAACTGCATAGATGTGCAATAATCAAAATGTTAGGCGAAGAAGTCATGTACCCTACTATTAATAAAACTTTAGTAACTATTTTGAATTTTTTAGCCTCCCGTTTAATTAATAGCCACATATTACATTGAGATTAATGTCGCCGGCGGATTATGTTGTAGGTTCATGGAGTGTTGAATGCGGTGAGTTGGGGAATTCTGATGCCGGTGGGAGCAGTGATAGCAAGGTATTTGAAGGTGTTCAAGTCGGCAACTCCAGCCTGGTTTTACTTGCATGTCACGTGCCAAACATCTGCCTATATTGTTGGAGTTGCTGGATGGGGTACTGGTCTCAAACTCGGTAGTGATTCCAAGGGAATCACCTATGACACCCATAGGAACATCGGTATCGCTCTCTTCTGCCTCGGAACACTTCAGGTATTACACTCGTGTGCCAATAATACTGTATTACTATATAAAATCGGTTTTGATCTTCTGTATATATCATTTCTTGTGTAATATATTTGTCAGTGTTTAAAGTTTAACATTGTATTCTTACTCTTTAGGTATTTGCCTTGCTGTTGAGGCCGAAGCCTGATCACAAATACAGACTCTACTGGAATATCTATCACTGGGCTACTGGGTACGTAGTCATTGCTCTCAGCATCGTGAACATCTTCAAGGGTTTTGATATCTTGGATCCCCAGAAGAAATGGAAGAACGCGTACACCGGCGTGATTATAGCCATCGGTGGAGTTGCAGTTGCACTTGAAGCCATTACATGGCTGATTGTGTTGAAGAGAAAGAAGGATGGTGGTAGCCTCTCTGACAATAATAAGTACCCTCCTCATTCATCAAATAGGGTAAATGGAGTAAACGGTTATGGAGCCTAGGGTTTTTTTTTTCTTTTTTCTAATCGAGATATTGGCCTTTTGAAATCCTTCATGGATTTCAATTCCACACGATATGTAGGATGCATACCTGGTTTGATATATTTAGGGCTTTAGATGTATTGCGACCCCATACTCCCTTGGGCATATATATATTGAGGGAGTATTATTTTTTGTATTCTTGATTGTCATTTTTAGTGACTCTATATCTACTTTTGTAGATATTAGCATAGATTATGTTTTGATATCCTATATATATATATACCTACTAGTGACTTGTGTGAGAAACCAGCATTGTTTTTATTTCTTTGAAAACAATTTTAACTAAATCGTGACTCACCTATTAAATACATTGAGACTTTTGAAAAACACAAATTCTAGAGGATCAAATTTACATGTACGCGACGGTTACCAACAATCCATATGGCTTTACTTCAAAATATTAGATGTGCTATCATCGTGATGTAACGTTATATAGTTATATTACTTTGCGTTGACTTTTGCGGTTCATTTCAATTATTACTCTGTATTTGTGCCACTACTTTTAAGGACGAGACTAAAATCTCTGCGCTAATATAACATAATTCAAACAAATGACTAGCCGCGAGGGTTTGCTCATCTAGAAGATGGCCTAGAGGGCTTTGAGTCGACGGCCGGCCGGCACTAACCCGTGGCTCTTAGGCATTCCTTCAAGTCAGCGCATTTCCTTGTCTTTGAGTTGAAATAAGTGTTTTATAACATTTGGTGCATTTGACACCGGGTAGATGTTGCTAGAAATAATTGGACAAAACGAAAGGTTGATTGTATTTGTATAGCTAGGTCTTAAATGAATATTTTTCTATCTTGAAAAAAATAAATTTTATTTTATTTTATAACTAGTGGTTCACTATTTTTAAAACTGGTGGACTAGAGAATCATGGACGACTCTTGGACTAGAGAATCCAGAGTCTTTTATTACGAAAGGAGTAATAAATCACAAACGGCTCTGAAATCTGGATCTTACATCATTTTTCTTTTCTTTTATGAAAGTCAATTTCATTAAATTAGAAAATAATACTCCATCCGTTCCAAAATAAGTATCGTTTTAGTAAAATGAAAAAATTTCAAAATATGTGTCGTTCTTATATTTCAATGCACTTTTTATCCAAAATTTTCAAAATTACCCCCAAAAGAATTAATACTATTAGTGGACATTTTTTTTTAATGGGGTTGGTTAAGGTTACTCAAGCAATTTTATGTGCAAACTTTAGGACAATACTTATTTTGGAATGAAGGGGGTACTCCCTCCATTTCAAAATATAAGTCAATTTAGGTTTTGCACGTTAACTAAGGAAACAATCATTCAACAATTAATTTATATGTTAAATATCTGTTTTACCCGTTATTAATTATATTAGAACTATAAATAAAACTAACTAAAAATGGATTGACGTTATTTATTGAGGGTAAAGTTGAAAAACTAGTCATTAATTTGTCTTGAAATATTAAAACGATTTACATTTTGAAAAATCTCTTTAAGTCTAAAACAACTTACATTTTGAAATGTAGGGAGTAATAGTTATTTCAAAACGTTGCACAGCAATTAATTTGATCGTTACATTTATTTGGGAAGGAAATTCGCGAGATTACAGAAATCTGAAGTAAGATTGTGTCTATTTACAAACCATCTAACATCATTTTCTGTGACATCTTTTGTCTATCTTAATTAATGTATATGATGTTTCATACGTTGAAGAATAAATTTTAATTTCTATACATTTGTGTGTAGATGGTTTTTAGCCATTTGTACATTTCAAAATACGTTTTTCCACAGAAACCAATAAAAACTGTTTTCTTTTCTTTTCTTTTTTTTTTTCTGTATTGCCAAAAAAAAAAAAAAATTTCCTGTCCAAATCAAAAACCCACTTCTTTTTTTTTTTTTTTCAGCTTTAATTCTCCCTATTAGACCATTCCAGACGTTGAATTCAAACCAAAACAAAACAAAACGCTCTTTGACTTTCTGCGCAATGTCTTTGCCAGTGAAGAACGCACTTTCCCAATATACGTCACTTTCGATAATTACACACTAATTCTGGTAACCTCCTCCTCCTCTTTTTTTAGCAGCCCTCTATCTGGAATTCTTCAAATTTGCCCTTTTTAATTGATTTTCGGCCTTGTTTATGCACCAAATTCAGATGGGTTTAGTCCGTTTGGCTTCGTTTTGTATTAAATTCGATGAATTGTAGTATGTTTTTGGAAATGGCGCCTTGTTCTGGTCTCTCGTTATCGGAAGATGCTTTTTTTTTGGGCTCTAGAAAGGTAACACCGCCACTCCAATAGTTGCTTCCTGCGCTGCTCTAGAAAGGTAACGCCATGTTCTTTAGCTTTGCTTCCCTATTATTCTGCTTCTTTGTTCTTTTCCTTTTTTTTTGTCTTTTTCTTTTTTTTGATTTCTTGTGTATTTGGACTGAATGCAGGATATGGTGTTTGATGCTTAATGCTTATTTCTCCAGTCCTGTTACTCTTATTCTGTGCTTTGGATGCGTCTGAACTCATTTCAGGATTTAGTAATTGAAGCAATTAAGGTCTAAATTCATTCTGTTGTGCTGTTTCATTTTGAATTTTGGAATTAGTGGTGTTCGTCTTCTATGGTAACCTTGTAAACCAACCCGTGAAATCTGCTTCTGTTTTGTTGGAATGGAGTCTGGGGATTTGGTTTGGGATAGTGAAAAGAACACCGGTTCGGAAAGAAATTTTGAGGGTTCTGTTGGAGTTCTTGATGTTTACATTCATGAAGCTAGGGATATCCACAATATATGCATTTACCAAAATCAGGATGTGTATGCCAAGCTGTACTTGACTAGTAATCCAGAAAGAACAGTTGCATCCCGAATCATTAACCGTGGGGGGAGAAATCCGGTTTTTGATGAAAATGTTAGGTTAAATGTGGAGAAGATTGAGTCGTCACTGAAGGTTGAGATTTGGATGCTTAGTAGGGTGAGGAATTACTTAGAAGATCAGCTGTTGGGATTCACGTTAGTGCCCCTCTGTGATGTCCTCATTGAGAATGGAAAACCTGCAAGGGAATTTTCACTTACTTCCAGTGATTTGTATCATGCTCCGGCAGGTTTTGTACAACTAACTCTAACATATACCGGTGCATCATCAGAAGTTCTTGAAATCCCGGCACCACTCAATGTGCTTAATGGGGGGAGCGTTAATAAAGAGACAGGAGTTGATGATGACATTCCCTGTGAACTTTTTGATAAAATTGAGTTTCCAGATCCAGAGATAATGAATGAAAATGAGCAGATGGCTTCAGAGTATTTCGAGATTCCATGTCCGGTTTTGGATTGCAATAGCACAGATCAGTCTCTCCCTCATCAAGGACATGATAATCAGGCTTCTTGCAATCAAGCTGTTTGTCCAGGAGTTGATATTGGTTCTCAAGGTGACATTAATTCCCTGAATGCTGAAACTCCACCGGCTACATCAGAAGCTGCAATGAGTCAGCCTGGTAATGTACCTGCAAACCTTTCCCCCGAGGCTAAAGCATCAGGCCTTCCTGGATTGAAGAATCAGGATACCATCTCAGAATTGGGGAACAGAAGTATTTCTTCATCAGAAGTGAATAGGGTGCCACCTGAAGCACCAATAGCTAAGCCTCTTATCAATGTGAGCATTGAACAAGAACCAAAAGTAGTTCAAGAAGAGATAGTTGAGATGTATATGAAGAGCATGCAGCAGTTCACTGAGACTCTTGCAAAGATGAAGCTTCCTGCAGAATTTGCCAAAGCTTCCAGCAACGAAAGTTCAGATGACAATTCCAGTAATTCTAGCTTTGGTGAGAAGCCACATGCAGCAGCGTCCAAGGGCAACGAACCTAGTCCAAGGGTCTTCTATGGTAGCAGAGCTTTCTTCTGAATCATAATAGACTGATCCTTTGTTTACCTTTTTTTTTTTTTCTTATTTCAATGTAGACTAATCAAACACCAAACAGGCTGGCATTTTTATTTTTTTTTAATGTTTCACACCTAAAGCTTGTTTACTTTGTTTCATAGGAACATAGTAATTGGTATGCAGCAAATGTAGAACAGCATCTGGTAAATAACATCTGCTCCTCATATATTGTTGGGATTCCTAGTGTCCCAAATAACAATAGTGATGAAAGTCTATAAGATGCATCTTCTCTCTTTGGTGAGTTGTGTTCTGTATTATTTTCTATTTTTTGTTTTTATGAATCATCTTCCCTATTGTGTGTTCTGTGTTAAAAAAGACATGCAAAGTCAATCTCAATACTCAGGTGCATGGACTTCTCCATTTGAAAAGGTTCTGTGCAAGATTCCCACTTTCTTCTTTCATCTTATCGTGGGAGATTCTCATTCAATGATTTCCAAGTTTCCATTCTCACCTTATTCCTCATACCTTCAAGCTCTGATCCAATGATCCTGATTCCTGAGAGTAGGTGTCCATGAGTGTGGGAGGGCTTCATGTGCTTTCAATGTTTCAATACGTTCTAAGGTTTTGAGATCCCAAACTAGAAGATTTCGTTAAGAAGCGTAAAGATTAGGATAACAATGGTTGAAAGAGAGAATCTAACAAAAAATATGCTTAATCATAAACTTTTTAGAGGGGTACTTACTCTTGCATTCTGATAAACATTTTTAAGGAAGTTGTCTCAACCTTGAAAGTTTTTTTGAACACTATAGTAGTTAGATATTGATGGAATAGGTTTGTTTTCAAGCAGTTGAAGGAAAATGTTACATGTACAAAACAACACTCCAATTGATTCAAATATTTTCCAAATGTATATTTTGCATCTAGGATGAGCATTTTGCTAGAATGTCTCGATCGGTCCCAAAGTAGCAGTAATGGTAAAAGTCTAGAAGACGCGTTCTTCTATGTTTTGTTTGATGTGTTTTCGGTAATTTATCTAACTATAATATCATTACTGGTGAGAGTTTTGAAAGTTGAAACAGGGAAGTGAAAAAACAGAAATTGATAACTTGCATTGCAAATTTACAGAAGTTGTAGGAGCAAAAGTCTCAATCTTTACATTTTCACAGCTGGTAAAAAAGCAGTATCATTATGACATCTGCTTGAAACCCTCTAAGAGATTTACAAAATGAGTGGACAATCCAGCAAGAATAATAGTATTAATCATCTACACCTAAGAGCTTTCAATCCAACTTCCAAACGAATACTCGCCCTGTAGAATCTCCACTGAAAAATAGACCTCTACAGCCAATCTCCAGTGTATGGACTTCTCCATTTGAAAAGGTTCTGCCCCTTTCTGCAAATGACGGCAAGTCATACACCCGAACAATCTTGTCTTCACACGAACACAGCAAGATTGGTTTGTTTCCTCCATCGTTTATCCGGCGTAGAGCCAGAATCCCACTTTCTTGTTTCATCTCATAGATTACTTGAGAGTTTCCATTCTCAGCTGTTCCCCACACTTTCAAGCTGTTGTCCAATGATCCTGAGAGCAGGTATCTGTCAAAGAATGCCAGAGAGGTCACTGATTCCTTGTGTGCATTCAATGTCTCAATACATTCTAAAGTCTTAAGATCCCAAACTCTTATGGTATTATCCTTGGATCCTGAATAAAGCCTATTGCCTCCCACAGTGAGGGAAATCACTGCACTGGTGTGACCCTTCAGAGTTGGCAACATTATGGGACTACTTGATTCTGGACATGACTTCCAGGCCATTATTGAACCATCTTCCACTCCAGCAAATAGTACATCTCCGGCCCCAACCATGGCATTGACAAGGTCATTAGGACCTGGTATAACAAATTCGGTATTTGCCTCTATGTTCCAGGCCTTGATAGCATTTCGGACCCCAATAAACACCCATGGATGTTCACTTATCATGCATCCAATTTCACTTTCAAGTTGCAATGTTTCGGAACATTGGCCACTGTTGCAATCCCAAACACAAACAGACCCATCCCTATCACCCGAAAAGAGCTTGTCGGACCCGGAAGGAAGTGTGATCCCCGTGACAGCCTTTTGGTGCTTGTCCAGGCTTGCCAGCAAGGAGAACCCGGTGCCAGAAAACCATGAATGCACATCCCAGCAGTCATCGCCTTGACAGCAATTTCCAACAACCCAATCTTGGCATAGTGTTAGCCCTGTATTCTGGAAACTTTCTAAAGCAGAGCAAGACTCTGTTGTGGTCGCCACCGTTGTCTGATTTGCAGGATCACTTTTAACTTCATACTTAGTACCACCGTTGGATGATGAAACTGGTAAATTGTTATTTTGCACAACGGGGTCGGGTGTCTCGCTTTTAACTTCACTTTTCTTAATAGTGTTGGATGATGAAACTGTGACATTTTTGCTTTGGACAGCAAACTCCAACTCCTCCTTTGAGGCACTTTTAACTCCAGAATCTGTAGCACTTGCAATTTTGCTTTGTACAACAGGACAAGGTCTGTCACTGGCCAACTCTTTGTCTCCAGCACTTTTAACTTCAGAATTTGTAGCAATATTGGATGATGTAGCTGTCACTTTTATACTTTGATGATGAACAACTGGGCGAGATCTCTTATTGATCAACACCTTTCCCATAGCACTTTGAACTTCACATTCTGTGGCAGAATTGGATGATGGAACTGTTACATTTTTGGTTAGGGCAGCAAGGCCAGGTTTTTCAGAAGTCAACACATTCTCTGAAGCTCTTTTAACTCCAGAATCTGTAGCCCTATTGGAGGATGGAACTTTTGCACTTTTGCTTTGGACAACAGGGCCTATTCTCTCATCGGCCAACACCTTTTCCACGGCACTTTTAGCTTCAGACTTCAAAGCAATGTTGGATGATGGAGCAGTTACATTTTTACTTTGAAGAACTACAGGGCTAGATCTCTGAAGAGTCAACACCTTTTTGTGATTCAAACTATTTTCATCAGCTTTAGGGCTCGCTGATCTCTTCTTGAGTGTTATAATTCTTCCAGTCTTATGTTCGGTAACAGATGACGGAACAACACTCGCATTCATAACCTCATCCTTACTTTTAACAACAGGGCTGGATTTTCCATCAGCAATCAAAACGCGCTTCGGGTTCTTGGTGACCTCATTAACTCCAAACTCGCTGGCATCATTCTTCAGAGAGTATGTGAACTTATTTCTGCGGGGATCGTCACTGGAAGAAGGCTGTAGTTTGGGTAAACCCGGGTGGAGAAACCTACAGTGGTTCCGGTTGCACTTGCCAGAGAGCCAAAAACTGCAGATTTGAGGAGTTGTTTGACTCTTGAAGTGAGGGCGTTTTGGTCCTCCGATACGATCAAACACCGATCTGTTTCTAGTCTCCAACTCCATATCTTCACTGAATTAACACAGTGCCGCCGAGGGAATAACTTCTGAATTGTGAACAGAGGAGTTGATCAGTAAATAGTATGCTACCTTAGAAACCGGCCACTAGTTTCGCTAATTTACCTAGGCGATCAAAACATAATTAGATCTAAAGACAGAAGAACAAAAACCCTAGATCTAATCACCCAAAATCAGAAAACCCACAAAACTCAAACAACCACCAAAAGCGCCGGAAATCCCTATGATTCGCCGCCCAGAGAAGACGGGATGTCGGAAAGATCCATAACAGCATAATCTCAAATCGCAATCAACGCAATGGGTGGATGGATTAAATCAGTGAAAACGACGCCGGTAAAAAACCCCCAAATCCCCTCAAAATCACAACTCGAGAACCCCAGCAATTCAGAAGACTAACTATAAAAAGGAAGCAGCGAACCTGAGATCGTCAATCGGAAAAACCCTTGAAAGCTACAATACTTCAATCTATAGCATAGATTGATGGAGAACGCAGAGTTGAAAATTTGTGATAAATTTAGGGCAGAAAGAAAGAGAGTGAGAATGTTAGAAGGATTGAGGAGTTTTTATAAGTGAGTTTGGGTTTTGAGTTAAGGCGGTTGGTTTCCCGGGTGTTTCATTATTGGTTTAGGATTTCGGGTGTTACAGCCCGTGATAGGTGATTTATTTTCATCCAAATAAATAAACCCTCCTTATTTCCCAAAAACAAAAAACAGAAAAATTACTACTCGTAATAAATAAACTCTCCTAATCTTGCAAATTCCTATTAACTCCCTTACAATATTTAGAATGTTCATCCTCCTTTTGTATGTTTTAATTAATATAGTACATGACATTGCTTTAATTTATTGCAAGATATGAATTGAATGATATTATTTCAAATAAAATGAAAATTTAATATCGAATGCTTCATCGAAGTTTTCCCCTTATGAGCAAATATCAAAGACATTCTATTAAGTTCGGTTAGATGTTTATTTTTGTTAAAAAAAAAAAAAGAAAGAAAGAAATGCACGAACTTCACATTTGTAGTTTGCACATGTTTTTCTTTTCTCTATAGAAAAAATTATTTTCTTAGGTTTTCAAATATTTTTTTTGGAAGTACGGTTTCTAAATATTTTAAAATTGAAAGAGTAAAATTTTATCGATTTCAAATTTTATATTCTTGAATTATATTAAAGGTTGGCAAAAGACAGTTTTTATCTTTTTAATAATTCTTGGTCTTATATTTCGTAACTTATATATGTTGGTACTAGTATAATCACTAAATTTCAAAAATCAATTTACCTGTAGTATTTAACTTCTAGATTATAATTTTTTTAAAAAAAAACTAAAAAATGAAGAAGAAATTCTCGAATTGAAGTAAACGTAAAAATTAATATCAAATAATTAAATAACCTAAAAGAAACATGTCTTAGCTAATTTTTTGGTTTTTTGATTGTTAAACTATTAATTTCCATCTTACTTCAACTCGAATTTTTTTTCTTCATTTTCTTTTAATTTTTTTAAAAATTATAATCTAGATTTAAAGTACAAAAGGTAAATAATTCTTGAAATTCAATACTTATACTAGTATGAACATATACTCCTACAAGTTAGGAAGTATAAGAAGATAAGGAAGAAAAATTGTAAAAGAAATAAATACAAAAAAAATAAATATAAAATGACAAAAATACTCCTGAATCCAAAAGCATGTGCAAAATAACTTTCCCTTACTAATTAATGATCAAAATTAATAGTATGACTTCGAACGAATTTTTGGCTTAGTACAATGACCAATTGTGAGAAGAAATTTGATTGATGACCAATGATCCAATGACCTGTTTTATGGTTCACCCAAAGATTAAATACAAAAGGTATAGTAGAAAACCATACCAAAACTCTCGTTTGAACAAGAATAAAATTAGAACCGTAAATCGTCGGTTTTTGAACCGCAACCGTCAATTTTAAGACCTAACTAAAACCCTCTCTATATGTGTTGGTTACAGTTCCATGATCTTTGAAACTAAAACTGGTGATTTTTTGGAACTGGAATCGACATTTCTGCAACTATGTATGACCATGTCAAGAGGCAGTGTTGTTAAACTCGACTCGGACCGGCCGATCAAACCAGTTGAACCGAGAACTGAACCTTAGTTCGAGCTGAGTAGGAAAGAAAATCATCCATTTAAAGTTCGGTCAAAATCGGTCAAAAATCTAATGGAATCGAAAATCGGCCAAAACCGGATCAAATCGGATTTTGACTTTTTGCTGATTTTTGGATTTTTAAAACATTTTGCACTTCTTTTTCAGGTGTATTTAATGTGTTTTTTAACTTTAGCCCCCCAACTAGATGTTTAATATTTTTCATGATCCATACCTCTTATATTTGTGTAATTAAACTTTAATTTCAAGTCTAATTCAACCATCCATCTCAAATATCAATTGTGAAATTGAGAAGTAATTATTATTTTGAGCTAAGGTAAAATATCATAGACCAAGTAAATCTAGCAACATTCTTCATTTTAAACTAAATTGAAAAAAATTATAACCAAGTAAATTGATTAAACATGCAACGGAATTTTTTTACAATAAAAATTAATCATGTAGCAAATCTATTAATTTATTAATTATAAAAAAATAATTTAAACTAATAGTTTAGCTAATGTCACTATAATTTTCCATCAAATCTATTTGAAAGTTATGAATCACTAATTTAACTTCAACAATCAACAAATTTATACTAAATCTATAAAATTTTATTAAAAATATATATTTATTAAATCCATTAATATTTATTAGGGAGAATTATCATTAAGGGTATGGGAAAAATTAAAATTATTAAAATGGGCATGCCTTTTATCATTGCAATGAAAAAACTTTAATTGTTAATTTAGTTGTTAAAAGGACTATTATATCCTTTTCGCAAAACAAATAATTACTTCATGTAATCAAAGTATCAAACTATCAAATTTCTCAAGTGCCCATTTTCTCCACCTGTCCTCCCCGCCATTAACTGCCACTCTCCCGTAAATCCAATTTGGTCTTTGATTTATTTGATTAAAATTATTTTACGCATAAATATGCTCAATTCTTTTTTATTTTTGTCATCAGAGTCTGTTCTTTTTTTTTCTTTTCTTTTTTTTTTTGAGTTGGTCCCAAAGCAGAAGTGGGGGTTTTCCTTTTCTTTTTCCTTTTATTTTCCTCTGTTTATTTTGGGTAGTATTGGATTTAGTTAATGCTGAAGAGGAGAGTTATGATGAGTAAGAGAGTATTGTTCTTTATGGATTTTAAGAAAAAAAAAAAAAAAAGAAAGAACCAGGTTGTAGCGAATTTGTGCAGCTATTAATCCTTTTACACTTCATAAAATCAAATGATACTTAACACATGTGTCAGCTTCATAAAACTTTTTTTCCCGCCAAAATAAAAAATATACATCTTTTATAAAAGCAGAACGCCACGTGTCCTGTTTCCATCCGGAAAAAAAAAGTAAAATACCCCAAATTGTGGAAAATATGAATGTTCATGTTAAACAAAAAATCAACAAATTTAAAAAGAGTTATATGTACACACGATAATCAGTCCCCAATTTAAAGAATTTACATTACTTAAGAATTTGTTATATTTCAGCTTTGTAAATGCGTCCCCAATTTCAGATAACTATTCCCCAGTTTTAGTTCCCAAATTTTAGCAAGGAATCAAATTTTGAGCTTTTTCCATGGCAGAATCGAATCCCAAATTTTCGATAAAGTTCCGTTTTTCTTGAATTTTTTTTTTAATAAATAACGGCTTCTCCATGAAAATATCAAATTAGGGTTTCTTTTCCCTCCTCTCTTCTCAGCATAACCTCTCTTTCTATTGTGCCTCCGTTTTTCACCGAATCGAAAGCGCCACCGTAGATAGCAACCTAACTTCCAATGTGACGGATTCAGATTTGATGGCGCTATTTGATAGCACGGATCGATATCATAATAGCATAATGAGTTATTCGGCACAAAGCTACACATCGACGATACCAAATTTGTCAAAGAAAGATTCAACTATATAAGGCACAAATCTCCATGGGAGCTCGACAAAGCATGGAACTGCATGGTGCCTTAGGAGGGGCGGCAATGATGATCTAGGCGGCAGCGGACGGCCTAAAACCTGCAAGACAGAGCCTTGGGTGTCTCCCGAGGGTAGACTCTCCGATACTTAAGTCAATAAGAGAATAAAGAGAATAGAGAGAGATATGTGTATCGTTTGTAGAAGGTGTAGAAAATAGGTAGAAGATATGAATTATGAGAGAGGCACCACCTCTTTATATAGAGGTAGTGTTACCTGTTTCCTTAAACCTACTCGTAATAGGTTTAGGCGGTGACTTAGTCTCCAAAGTAGCCGGTCCAAACCCATTAGGGTTAGGGTTTATTTATGACTCGTCAAGTGCCCCTAGCAAACCACATTCTCGAGACTTGATGAGAAGAATATGGGTTGCTATAAGTACGAGGCTAGAGTGTTGACGGCTTCTCAACTTCCGTAGTGTTGCCCCACCTCTTGAACATGATGTTCCTGCAAGATGAACAAAAGGGTGATGGTCGACAGAAGAAGGTCCTCGAGGGGACAAGGGTCGACGATGACAGGGTCCTTGGAAAGACAAGGCTCGACAAGGGGTGGTCCTCGGAAGGACAATGGTCGACAATGGAAGGTCTTTCCAAAGAAGAATGTTCAGGAGGACAAAGGTCTATGAAAAGACGGTCTCTGTGAGAGACAATGGTCCGTGAGAGGACGGTCCTCGAATGGTCTATGAACATTAGTAATCAGGGATTGCTAGATTTGGGTTTCTGATTTTTTTAAAAGGACTTTTTAAAAAGAATAAAACAATATGGAATTAAACTAATTGATGCCTATATCGAACAAACATAAATCATAGTTTTTGCCGAAATCCATTTTGGCACTCAATCGATGTTTTAGTTTTGGCATTCTTAATATCATTGTTTGATTAATGGTTTTGGTTTAACCTTTTCAGTGGAGGTTCAGAGTTTGCTTCATATTTAAGGATGAATTTGCTGTGGGTCAATCGGTTTTATTTATGTACATTGTTCCATGATCTGATATTTTTGTTGAAATTTGTGAACAGCTAAAAGCTTTGCAGAAGCGTTGTTGGTGATGGAAAGCGGCAGCGTAGATCTGGATTTTTTCTGTTCTGGTAAAAATTTAAAGCTTGCTTTTGTAATATCATGAAATGAATTATTTTCGTTTATTTTTTTGTATTGTTTTGAGTCTGTGGGTAAGCTTGCCATCCATCCATTTCATGGCGGGTTACGGGCAGCCACAAAGTTTGAATATTTTTTTGTTTTAGAGAATTTGGATTGTGGGTTAATCGGATTTTGATCTGATCATCTTCCGATGTTCTGATTTTGCTTTTGTTAAAATTTTAATTTAGTTGATCCTGTGTAAAACTTTTTGGAGTCTAAGATTGAAGTTAATGCTCTCTGATGAAGAATAAATAATATGTTGAATAGTTTGTTTTATATTTAAACTCAATAATCTACTGATGCAGATACTATCGTTATTTGCTCATTTGATTTTTAGCTCATGCAAATGAATGTTGCAGTTTT